CTCGCGGCCCTGTCCACTGACATGGGCTGGGCACCACACGTCCATGTGGAGAGTCTGCAGGGGAGCAGACGTCGGGGGAAACGAGGAGGAGTGAGGAGCGGCGCGCTGCCGCCCCTCGACGCAAGGAAGGCAGGGCGGGGCAAGCGAGGGCGGGAGGGGAGGCAGAAACCTGGGAAGACCAGAAACAAGGAGGCGGGAGTGCATGCCACGAAGGCGTGGCAGGGAGGGGTGATTAAGGCGGTTGTGCCAAAGGAGATTCTGATGCAACAGGAGGCGACACGAGGAGGGGGCTGCTACCAGACCTGACGCGGACACCTGAGCAGACGCAGCTACCTGAGGAGGCTCAGTACTTAGTGTGTACAGACTCGACCCAGGCCGACAGGTTAACGTGGCCAGGTGACGGCCCGTCCGTGTACACGTGCTTATCGACACACGCTGACCCCCAGGAGTGGTGGTAGTGACCATCACATCCCAGAGGGCAGCAGTACTCACCAAGTTCGTAGAGAATGAGGGGAGGTGAAGACCTGAGAGTAAGCCGGACGGAACCGCCGGATACGGGAGAGCAGTGGAGGAGCGGGCAAGAACTGGGCCCCCTGAGGGGTCAGCCAGTCTGACTGGAATAGGTATAGGGAGTGGAGTGAGGGTGGTACTTTCGCAAAAGAAACAGCGGGAAGCACCTGAGTCAAGTGTGAAGGTGTGCAAGGCCTCAACAAGCGCAGTACCAGGGAGAGCAGACTCACTAGCACCTAGAGCAGCAGCCTCTATACCTGGGTCGGGCGGCACACACAGGTAACAGTCACCCTCAGCACTTAGAGACACGGCATACATGGCAGCAAGGATAGCATCATAGTCAAGAGCAAAGATATCAACACCAGACCTAAGCAGCTCTAGCCAGCGGGGGCGCTCAGCCTTGTCGCCAAACTCTGCGCGCCAAGCGTCGTCAAGGCGAAAGAAGCAGCGGTGCTGTGTGTGAAACTTCCCGCATGTCTGACCAGCGCGGTCACTTGTGCAAATGACATACGGGCAGCGAACACTACCCCCAGACACCCCACGCTGAGCAAACCACTCACGAAGCTGCTGGGGCGTAGGGTTCTCGCTCTGACGCTGCTGCTGCTGCCTCTGGCCACCGCTAGACACTCCCCTCTGAACAGCTCCACCCCGACCGCCACCACTGCCGCTGCCACCACTCCCACTGCCGCCACCACCGCCACCCCCACCCCCACCGCTGCCACCACTGCCGCCACCAAAGCCCCCAGTCCCGCCACCACTCCCATCGCTGCCACCACCTCCGCCACCTCCACCGCCTCCACTGCCTCCACCACCACCACCCCCGTTGCCACCGCCACCACCCTTGCCACCCTTGCCCTTGCTGCTGCGGCGCTTCCCACTAAGAGCAGAAGCAGCCCCGCCATCCTCAGTACGAAGGATGTCAACAGCAGCAGCAGAAGCGTAGGAGGGGGCAAAAAAAAAGGGGGAACACCCCTCAAAGAAGGGTGTGCGAGGAGTGCGACGAGCAGCACCTACAGCGACTACGCTAGTCTAAGCTGCAAGGAGGTGCTTCTCAAGCAGGTGGACAGTGAGGTCTGTAGGGTCAAGTGTGAGAAAGTGGTCCTTGACTGCGCGAAGAGAGTCAGGGAGGCGGGTGACTATGAAGTAGAGAATGATGTACATCGGGGGGGGAGGGGTTCCTGTCTAGGAACTCGGCTGGGAGGGCACCGCGGTAGCGAGTGTCGCTAGTGTGAAGGTGGGTAATGAGGTCCTCGACTGTAGCAAAGGCTGACAGCTCGGGAAACAGGTAGGGCAGTATTAGGCGGCCGAGAGCAGCAGTGGCAGGGGAAGAGTAATGAGCGACTACAGCGTCGTACAGGGCTTTAGCAGTCTTGTGCTGGCCAAAGTGAGCGCGTTCGGCTAACGGCAAGTGGTTGTGAACGGCTAAGCGAGCAGTAGCGTCACGGGTAAGCCACTGTGAGCGAGTTGCACTGTCAGCTGTGGCGGGAGGGGCCGAGAGAGGCTCCAGACGTGTGGTCAAACAACGAAACGCTGTCTCTAGAATCGCTCAGTAGGTACAGCTGTAAGTCGTCGAGCCACGATTCGAACTGGATCGGACGGCCCTCATGATTGAAGGTGAGAACACTGAGAGAAGCCATAGCGGACAGAGCAGGGTGGCGCGCGACCAGCAGGGCAGCACGCAGACAGGGCGGCGCGCGAGCACTAGGGAAGCGCGCATGGCAGGGAAGAGCGGCGCGCGGCCAGGGCAGGGCAGTGCAATGGCAGGGTAGGACGGCGGCCAGCAGGGCGGCACGTGGTCAGGGTAGGGCAGTGCGGCTGCCAGCAGGGCGGCGCGCGGGCAGCAGGGCGTCGACCAGCAGGGCGGCGCGGGCAGGGCAGTGTGGGCAGCGGTGCGGCTGCCAGCAGGGCGGCGCGCGGGCAGCAGGGCGTTGGCCACCAGGGCGGGCAGCAGCAGGGCGGCGCGTAGCAGGGCAGTGTGGGCAGCAGGGCGGCTCAGCGCGGGCAGGGCAGGGCGACGCGCAGGCAGGGCAGGGCGGCGCACCTGCCAGCAATGCGGCGCGCAAGTAGGGCAGGGCGACGCGACGGCCAGCAGGGCGACACGACAGGCAGGGCAGAGCGACGCGACGGCCAGCAGGGCGACGCGACAGGCAGGGCAGGGCGACGCGGCAAACAGGGCAGGGCGACGCGACTATTGGGGCAGCGCTATGTGATGGGCCCTAAAAAAACGGTCCTGGAACAGGACCTGCTATGAAACCATGTCAGAATACTGAACGAGAATGAATGCATTGAGGAGAAAGTTGGTACAAGTACTAACCCTAATTGGGTTGTACCCCTTATGGGCTACCCCACTACAGCCTACACAATATGAGCATTAGAACATTTTGACAGTTACGCCCCCTGAAGGGGTACACCACGCGCAGTGGAAGACGGCAAGGAGGTAAATAAGGAGGAGGAGGCGAGAGAGAGAGGGGAGAGGAGAGGAATGAGGAGAGGAGGTGGGGGGAGCCACGCGGCGAGCCCCTCTTACGAACCCCCGTTTTACAAAGGGGGGGGGGGGGGGGGGGGGGGGGGGGGGAGAGGGATGAGGAGAGGAGGTGGGGGGAGCCACGCAGCGAACCCCTCTTACGAACCCCCGTTTTACAAAGGGGGGAGGGTGAGAGAGGGAGTAGAGGAGGTGGGGGGGAGCCTAGCGCAGAGAGCCCCTCTTACTAACCCCCTAATTCCACGCCCCCTTTCAGCCATCCCCTTCAACCTCACCCCGCTTGTCAACCGCCTCCTGGAACCTCACACCTTCCCCCCCACCCTTCCTCCAACGCCTTCCCCACCCACGGTGGTCCCTGCTCAAGCCTTCACACGGCGGCCAGAAGCCCGCCACCCCCTTACCCTCCCCCCCACAACGGCACATGCGGCAGTGAGAGAGAGAGGAGGGGCGGCAGCTGGGTGCTCACACCCGCCACCCCAAACCCACCCCCCCACTGTTGCACGCGCAGCAGGGAGAGAGAGGGGAAGGCGAGAAGCAGCGGCAGTAGCTCCTCCCGCCACTCCCACCACTCCCACCACTCCACCCTCCCCCCCACAGCAGCAGGTGCGGCCGTGAAATAGAGGAGGCAGGGTGGTGCCGTTGGTGCCACCTCCCCCTTACACCACCTCCCCCTCCCCCCAAACTGCTGCACACGTAGTAGGGAGAGGGCAGGGAAGGGAGGGGGGGCGAGGTGTACGATCTGGTGAGGCGGGCGCGGGCGGGCAGGGCGCATGAGGCGCCGGGCAGAAACCGCCGCTGCAGTAGGAGCAGCAGGGGGGGGAAGGTAGAGGCAGAAGGGGGGGCTGCTGGCTTGGTGACGAAGCAGAGCAGTGGGGCGCTGTAGGTGCAACCACCCTCCACCGCCACTCCTGCGTCCCCCCAACACCCCCCCCCCCCTCCCCCCAAACTGCTGCACGCGAAGCAGGAGAGGGAGGAGGAAGCGGGCGGCGGAGACGGCGGGAAGCACTGCGACGGGGCCCCCGCGCGACGGGCAGAAAACCGTCGCACGCTGGGGGCGAGCGACAGGCAGAACACCGTCGCGTGCTGGGGGCGCGCGACGGGCAGAAACCGCCACACGCCCGGGGCGTGCGACGGGCAGAAACCGCCACGCGTTCGGGGCGCGTGACGGACAAGAGTGCTGCATGACGGGCAGTGCGACTGGTGGACCTCTGACATCCCCCCCGCACTGGGATGCCCGAGGTGCACACATTGGAATTCGAACCCGAGACTTTTGCTCTGATACCATGTCAAAATCCCAACCACTAGACCATTGGGATAAAATGACTTGTTTGTGTAGCGGATGAGTACGCCCATAACCTCCCAAGCCAACGTGCCTGTAACCCTTCCCTAGGATCAATCGGGGATCACCAGTGGACCTCTGACAATCTTTTCTACGGGCTTGTCATTTTGATATCCGACCTACTGCATCAAACACCATCACCTCACCACCACCTAATTAGGTTCAGGAATGCACAAGTACACAAACGTGAGTGCAATACGAGTCAAATAGTACGGTAAATAAGAGGGGATGTCATTTCAGTCAGATAACCAAGAGAATGCCTTCCCACGTCAGCAGCCAATGCAGACCAGCCCGCAGCACTGCAAACCCTAAACGGCTCTGACACTGCAGAAAACATGGCAGCACTGGAGCAAACCAAGTAGAATTGCAGCAAAGTGGATAGCATCTAGCCAGTGCAAAGGAAGCCAAAGCAGTTGGCAAAGTTGTTCCCAACGCATTGCAGTCCGCTGCAGCGCCAGTCGGTGGGACACATGACAGGTGATGCAGTGGCACACAGAACATCTGCAAGCACAAGAACAAGCACAAGCACAAGCACAGGTGCAGGTGGGCGGGGCAAAGAGAGGGGAGAGTGAGTTGCAAGGGGAGGCATTGCAGAAGATGGCATGCCACTGACACGTGTACCAATGGCAGCACCGCCCTGTCCCCCTTGTGCACCCCCCCCACACTCACCAATGCAAGCCAGCGGCAGCGTGGTGGCCCCGACAGCGTTGGGCGTCCCGGCGGCGAAGGGAGCGGTGGCGTCAACGGTGCAGATGCCACGGCCATAGCACAGCATGCCCTGCGCCGTGTCGGAGAGGCAGAAGCTGCACCCGGTCGCCCGCTGCGCCGTGCCCTTGGTGGCGCACGTGGTGGCGGCGAGGAAGCAGTTGTTGTTGGCGCCGCATGATGTGGCGGAGTTGGCCGGGAAGGAGCCCGAGAGGAAGTTAAAGCCCACATCGATGTCCTTGAGCCCCGCCGCCAGTGGAGGCACGCGGTATGTGAGGTAGTTGTAGGACAGGCCGCTGCCACGAGGGAAAGGGGCAAAAGTGGGTGGGGGAGGGACGGATGGATGAGAGAAGGATGGAGGTGCCGTTACGGCAACCTATTTGATGGCACGAGACTTGACACAGAAGCAGCAGTCAAAGGGGTTTGGAAGTTTGCTAAGGAGCAGACACGTGCATGGTAGCATGGAGGCGGCGCTTACAGGCGCGTGAGCTTCGGCATGGCGACGAGGCCAGGGGGCAGACTGCCGTAGAACCAGTTGAAGTCCAGCAGGCTGCGGGATGCACGTGACCAACACGCACAGCATGCCCAACACGCACAGCATGCCCAACACGCACAGCATGCCCAACACGCACAGCATGCCCGACACGCACAGCATGCCCGACACGCACAGCATGCCCAACACGCACAGCATGCCCAACACGCACAGCATGCCCAACACGCACAGCATGCCCAACACACACAGCATGCCCGACACGCACAGCATGCCCAACACGCACAGCATGCCCGACACGCACAGCATGCCCGACACGCACAGCATGCCCAACACGCACAGCATGCCCAACACGCACAGCATGCCCAACACGCACAGCATGCCCAACACGCACAGCATGCCCAACACGCACAGCATGCCCAACACGCACAGCATGCCCAACACGCACAGCATGCCCAACACGCACAGCATGCCCAACACGCACAGCATGCCCAACACGCACAGCATGCCCAACACTCACAGCATGCCCAACACGCACAGCATGCCCAACACGCACAGCATGCCCAACACGCACAGCATGCCCAACACGCACAGCATGCCCAACACGCACAGCATGCCCAACACGCACAGCATGCCCAACACGCACAGCATGCCCAACACGCACAGCATGCCCAACACGCACAGCATGCCCAACAGCACAGCATGCCCAACACGCACAGCATGCCCAGCACGCACAGCATGCCCAACACGCACAGCATGCCCAACACGCACAGCATGCCCAACACGCACAGCATGCCCAACACGCACAGCATGCCCAACACGCACAGCATGCCCAACACGCACACACATATTCATTCACAACGGGGGGCAGAGGGATGACAGGAAAAGGGGGTCAGTTCGCAAGGCGAGGTGGTGTGGGAGAAGAATCTAGACGGTGGGAGAAGAGGTGATGCAAACAATGCATTGCACTGCTAGGTTGAAAGGCGACTCACAGCACTGCAAGGTTGGGCAGCGATGGAATCTTGCTGGCAAACTCGTCCAGGCGCGCCCTGAAGAGGTTCGACTTGAGCGAGCTGCCATGCACATGCCAGTGGCACACGCAGGGAGGAGGGGTGAAGTGAAGGTATAGATTGGTGGTGGATGCGAGTAGGGGGCAGCCAGCTGACGAGCCAGCATGTGCACGACCAATCATGGAGCGGCACGTGAGCATGCTCGCTCACACCACTTGCTCCAGCACGCTCGCTCACACCACTTGCTCCAGCATGCTCGCTCACACCACTTGCTCCAGCATGCTCGCTCACACCACTTGCTCCAGCATGCGAGCGCGTAGGCAAGAGTGAGCGCTCAGGGAATGATGAGTGCTTGAAATTCTTAGCCCTATCTTGCATGTTTCCTGTTGCGGCCATGGATGAAAATGAATCCGGCTTTACTGTTTTCCTTGGTGAAACTTGATTACAAGAGATTGAGTGCTGATGTGGATAGTAGTGATTATAAGAAAGTGTGCTTACAGGAATGTGAGTGCAGTGAGCTTGGTGATGTCAGCATGCAGAATGCCAAACAGCTTCTGACTGTCCAGGGTGCTGTGGGGAGGCGGGGACGGGAGGGGGCCAGAAAGGTGGTAAGAAGGGAAGGTGGGAGCACAGGGAGGAAGTGGAGAGAGTTAAGTGAGGCCGGCCATGCTGGAGTAGAATGGGGAAACGGATGGGGAATTTGAAACAAAAACAAATACACAAGACAAGAGCACAGAGGCGATTCGTTCTCCACTGAGGATTCTTTTGCTTCCGTCCGACCCGCCTAAAGCCCCCGTAACAGCCACCCAGGGAAGGCCCCCCACTGGTGCTCGCTGCTCACATCTTGACGGGGTTGCCAAGCGAGTTGCACTCGACGCCAGTGAAGCCCCCGAGGGCCGTGCCAGCAGCCGCGCAGGTGGAGGTGGACGCCCAGTCCGTGTACGTCAATCCCAGCGCCATCTTGATGTTCATCAGCGCCCCCACTGGTGGCAGGGGGCGGGGGGACACACGGGCAGGAGAGATGAGAGGCATGGGCATGAACATGGGCAGCAGACGTGGGAGTCACGGTGGCAGCAGCACGAGGCCCAGGTGCAGCCATACCTGCGGTGGCGTCGGTGGCGACGGGCTGTGGGGGGGGGCAGGTGATGGCGAGCTGGGGGGCGCCACTGGTTTGGCGATTGGTGGCGGCCCTGACGGCCGCGGGGTCGGGCTGGCACGTGGTGGTGCCACCACACAGCGTGCCGTTGGCGTCCTTGGTGCCGCACACGGCGCAGGAGTAGCGCTGGATGATGTTGCCATTGCCGCAGGGGGTGGGGTCGATGAAGCAGTTCTGGCGCACGGTGCAGAAGTCCCACGTGGACGTGGTGGTGGTGGCCGTCGGGAAGGTGTACGAGAGCCAGTTGTACTCGAGGTCCAGCACCTTCAGCTTCGGTGGCATGTCCGGCACCGTGCCCGTCAGGTAGTTCCACCCCAGGCTCCTGCCCGCACACGCACACGCACAGGGGGCATGGGGGGGGGGGGGGGGGTGGGCGACAGCGCATGGCAAGGTGTGGCACGGTATGCAGATAAGATAGTGCATGGAAATAAAGAAGGGCGGTTGTGGGGGGAGGCAGTGCAGGGGGCTCACAGCATGGGGAGGCAGGGCAGGGGGCTGGGGGCTCACAGCATTAAGAGGTTCTTGATGGAGGAGACGGTGGAGGGGATGGAGCCGGAGAAGAAGTTGTAGTTCATGATGCTGCGAGCAGGGGGACGAGGAGAGAAGGGGGGAAGAGGGCAATTCCCACATGGCAGGTTAGAGCGGAGGAGGGACAGGCAGGAAAGGGCCACCGACAGCGGCGAAGGTACAAGGAATGCAAGAGAGTGCGGGAGAAGAGAAGGGGGGGGCGCAGGGGGCGCGGGCTGGCGGGCGTACAGGATCTTCATGCCGGCGAGGCCGGTGAGCGGCGTGATGAACGGGTCCAAGCGGCCCGACAGGAAGTTGCCCGACAGGTCCCTGCAGGGGGGGGTGGGAGGGAGAGGAGGGGGAGGGGAGTGGCAGGCATGAGAAGATGGAAGAGCAGGAAGGCGAGCCCTTGAGGAGGGCGAGCAGAAAGAGCAGCAGAGTGTGAAGCTGAGTAGCAGAGTGTGAAGCTGAGAAGCAGAGTGTGAAGCTGAGTAGCAGAGTGTGAAGCTGAGTAGCAGAGTGTGAATCTGAGTAGCAGAGTGTGAAGCTGAGTAGCAGAGTGTGAAGCTGAGTAGCAGAGTGTGAAGCTGAGTAGCAGAGTGTGAAGCTGAGTAGCAGAGTGTGAAGCTGAGTAGCAGAGTGTGAAGCTGAGTAGCAGAGTGTGAAGCTGAGTAGCAGCGGCGGCACTGACAGGGCGGTGAGGCCGGTGAGCTTGGAGATGTCGGGGTGCATGACGCCGCGCATGAGGCGCCACTTGAGGAAGAGGTCGATGACCTTGCCCTGCCAGTTGCAGTACACGGCAGGCATGTCCTCAGGGCCTTTGGGGATGCCCGACACCGTGCACATCGTCTGCTCGCCCCACCCTGGGTGCGGCACTCCCAGCGCCGTCTTCAAGTTCGCCAGGATCGGCACTGCAAGGAGGGGGCACACAGGGGGAAAAGCAGAGGGGCAAGCAGGGGAGCAAGAATGGGGACGCACAGTGGCGACGGAAACAGGAAAGGGCGGTGGGTGAAAGGGGGAGGAGCACCAAAGACCGCCGAGGGCATGGCAAGTGGGGCGAGGAGCGAGGACGCGAGCAGCAGAGGAGCAGGCCCATGGAGCAGGCCCATGGAGCAGGCCCATGGAGCAGGCCCATGGAGCAGGCCCATGGAGCAGGCCCATGGAGCAGGCCCATGGAGCAGGCCCATGGAGCAGGCCCATGGAGCAGGCCCATGGAGCAGGCCCATGGAGCAGGCCCATGGAGCAGGCCCATGGAGCAGGCCCATGGAGCAGGCCCATGGAGCAGGCCCATGGAGCAGGCCCATGGAGCAGGCCCATGGAGCAGGCCCATGGAGGAGGCGCGGAACTCACGAGCTGCGGGGTCGATTCGAACTCCAGTGCAGCGCATGGGCAGCACGCCAGCGGTGGCGCTGTTGGGCGTCTTGGAGGCGAGCTGGCCGTCCGTGTTGGGCGAGCACACGCCCCCACCGCACAGCACATTGGCGGCGGTGCCATTGCAGATGGTGCAGGAAGCGCGCTGCACGGAGGAGCCCGACGAGACGCAGTTGGCGGCGCTGCTTAGGCAGTTGTTGCGCGCGTCACACATGGTGGTGGAGGACGCAGGGAAGGGGCCCGCCAAGAAGTTGGAGGCGACGTTGATGGTCTTGAGGGTTGCTGCTATGGGGGCCAGGTAGCCGGTGAGGTAGTTGTAGTGCACGTTGCTGCAGGCGGGACGGCAGGCGGCAGAGTGGTGGGGGCGGTGGAAGAGAAGGGAGAATGGTGGGAATGGTGGTCGGAGAGGGTGGGGTGTGAGGCGTTGGGTGGGTGGTGAGAGTACAAACGCAAAGACCAAACGCACACACACCATGGGATGTCATGTGTGCGCATGCAAGCAACGGATGTGTCGGTCTGTGTGTGTGTGTGTGTGTGTGCGCGCGCGCGCGCACGCGTGTGTGTGTGTGCGCCACTTACAGGGTTGTGAGGGTCGAGAGAGAGAGCAGATAGGCTGGCAGAGTGCCGGAAAACCAGTTGTAGTTGAGAGCGCTGTTTGGGAGGGGTGGAGAGGGGTGGAGAAGGGCGAGATGGAAAAGTGAGGGATGGAGACGTGGAGGGTGGAGAAGGTGGAGACGGGTGGCAAGGCAATGCGAGCATAAGGAAAGTGAGAGTAAGAAAGTGAGAGTAAGTCAGGGCGGGCAGGGCAGAGCAGGGAGGGCAAGGCAGGCAAGGCAGGCAAGGCAGGGCAGGGCAGGCAAGGCAGGGCAGGGCAGGCAAGGCAGGGCAGGGCAGGCAAGGCAGGGAAGGGAGGGCAGGGAGGGCAGGGAGGGCAGGGAGGGCAGGCAGGGCAGGGAGGGCAGGGAGGGCAGGGAGGGCAGGGAGGGCAGGGAGGGCAGGGCAGGCAAGGCAGGGCAGGGCAGGGTAGGCAAGGCAGGGAAGGGAGGGCAGGGAGGGCACTGACAGGTGCTTGAGCGACTTGACGGTGGTGAGCATGGTGCCCCACTCGGCCAGGCGCCCCTCCAACAGGTTGGACGCCAGGTTGCTGCCATCGCCGGGGGGATACGGAGGGGTGGGGGGGGAGTGGTGGGATGGATGGATGACTGCATATGAGTAAGGCACTCACACGAATGAGTATGACGCTCACATGAATGAGTATGACGCTCACATGAATGAGTATGACGCTCACATGAATGAGTATGAGGCATTTTGCTTGGAAAGAAAAAGATGGTGGGCCAAGGTTGGTGGTGTGGCAGAGCAGTGGGAGGGGCGCTCACATCTTGGTGAGAGCCGTCAGCTTCGTCAAGTCGGCAGGCAGGCTCCCTCTGAGACCCATGTTGACCAGATCACTGGGGTGACGCCACCATGCCACCCGCAAGCAAAACACAGGAATGAGATGAGTCAGCAACTTGAAGCAGAAAAATAAAGGAGACGGGAGAGAAGAAAGAGGAAAAGAAATAAACGAAAAGGAGACAGGAGAGAAATAAAGAAGTGTTCAATCCTGCAGCTTTCTTATTTTCCGCGAACATCCCGTGCAGAACATGTCACGGGCACCAAGGGCGTGAAGGACACGAAGGGTACCAAGGGCACCAAGGGCGTGAAGGGCAGCAAGGGCGTGAAGGGCGTGTGGCACTCACAGCTGTACGACTTGGCCGGCAATATCACAGCCAACGCCCGCCCAGCTGCCCGGCATGGGGGGGTTGCCCACCACGTCGCACGGCGAGTCCAGCAGCCACGTGCTCTGCGACACTCCCAGCGCCGCCCTCAGCACCAGCAGTGTTTGCGCTGTCCCCACATGCCCACGGGGAAGGCGGGCGGTTGGAAAGGGAGGTGGGGAAGGAATGGGATTGGAGTGGAGGCAGAGAGAGGGTGGTGAGGAAAAAATCTAGGCGACAAGGGGTATGATGCACAGCACAGTGTGGCATGTCACGCATGTGTGAGTGTGCATGTCACGCAAGTGTGCACATGTGAAGCATGCAGGCAGCGGGCATGGGCGCACCAGCAGTGGCGTCTATAGCGGGGCGGCCGCAGTAGAAGGGCAGCAGGGGCGCCGTGAGGTTGTTCACCGTGCCGGCCGCCAGGGCGTCCGTGGCGTTGAGAACGCAGGGGGCGCCGCTGCACAGCGGCGGCACGGCATTGGTGGTGCCACAGATGGCACAGCCGGTGGTGCGCTGGGGGATGCCAAAGAGGCTCAAGCAGTTGTTGCGGAAGTCGGAGTACTTGTAGGCCTGTGACGTGATGGTGCCCGCAAGCAAGTTGTTGGCCACGGTAATGGCCTGCACCTTGGTTGACACGCTCGGCAGCACACCCGTCAAGTAGTTGCCACTCAGCCCTCTGCACGGGCAGCACGGGCGATGCATGGTATGTGAATAGAGATCCTGGATGGATATTCTGATGGATGGAACAACCACTGACATACAGATGCAGAAAGGAGGGTAAAGCTGCAGCAGCATCCACTCCAGGAGCTTAAGTCCTGTCGGGCCCTTCCCTATGCTTATCAGCGCATCCACACCAAGGGCGCTAGAAAGAGAGGGGTCCCACACCTCACTGACAGCACTCCCCCACGCCTCACTGACAGCACTCCCCCACACCTCACTGACGGCACTCCCCCACGCCTCACCAGCAGCGGAGCCAATGGCCGTTACGGCCCTAGAGGCTACCGCGTCTAGGAGCGTGCGCAGTGTGCATAATAAACCTCACAAACGCACTGGGTGGAGGTGGGTATCCCGGTCTAGGTGCTAGCGGTGTGGTTGCAGGAAAACTGACATTTCGGTGAGGGATGGCATGTTGAGAAGAGCGAAGGGTATGCTGTCGTAGAGGTAGTTGAAGCTCAGGTTCCTGGTGGACAAGGTTGCATGCAGAGGGGGGCAAGGTTGCATGCAGAGGGGAGCCCGTGGGCGCACGGTTGAATTGTCATCAATGGCGGTGGCAAGCAGGGCAGGGGAAAGGGGAGGAAAGCGAGGGCAGAGCAGAATGAAGCAGCGACAGCAGAGCATGTGAGAGGGAGGTGCGCGTATGGCATGTCAAAAGGAGGTGGCAGATGGGGCGAGGGAGGGAGGCGAGGGCAGGGCACGCACAGGACGACAATAGTGGTGAGCGGGGTGATGCTGGAGACAAAGGTGGCGAGGCGGCCATACAGCAGATTATAACCCAGGTGCCTGCAAGGGGGGAGGGAGTGGGGGGAGATGTAGGGAAAATGGGGGGGAGAATGGGGGAGAATGGTAGGATTATAGGGGGAAGGGGCGAGAACCTAAGGAAATGGGGGCGAAAAGGGGGAGAATGCAAATATAGGTCGGTGATGCACTCACAGGTGGGTGATGCACTCACAGGTGGGTGATGCACTCACAGGTGGTTGATGCACTCACAGGTGGGTGATGCACTCAGAGGTGGGTGATGCACTCACAGGTGGGTGATGCACTCACAGGTGGGTGATGCACTCACAGGTGGGTGATGCACTCACAGGTGGGTGATGCACTCACAGGTGGGTGATGCACATACAGGTAGGTGAGGCTGGTGAGTTTGGTCATGTCTGCATGTATGGTGCCCCCCAGCTTCAGGTTGTTCAGCTTGCTGCCATGGCAGCACGCACAGCGGAGGGGTGAGAGGGACGGCAGAAGAGAGGCATGAGAGGAGAGACGATGCTTTGGGACAGTGCGGCCAACTTGGGGGTGAGGGATTGCAGAACGAGAGCGAGAGAGCCAGGGGGGCATGTTGGTTCCAGTACAGGGATAACATGGAAGGTACGGAAGCATCATACCAACATACTGCCTTGGGGGTGAGGGTGAGAGAGCCATACATGGGCGTCCTCCCCTCCATTCCTCTTCATGTCCCAGCAGCCTCATATATGGGCTGTTGACGTTCTCCCAGCCGCCTCAACGTCCTGAGACGAGCGTCCAGTCGATAAAAGCAGGCAAGAGAGCGCAAAGAGGGGGTGAAAGTGGGGGGGGCTCACAGGGAGACGACGGCGCCGCTGCCGCTGCACCAGACACCCGGGAAGGACTTGGGGGCGATGGTCTGCCCAATGATGTTGCAGGTGCTGCTGGCACTCCAGTCCGTGTGCGTCACTCCCAGCGCCGCCCCGATTTTGAGCAGCACGGCCGCTGCTCATGGGGCGCATGCAGGGGGACAGCACGTGGAGACAGGGGTGAGCGTCCGTGCACACACGTCCATGAAAGCACGTATCGTGAATGCATGTGGGCAGCAGGGAAGGGAAGGCAGCAGGCAGCATGGCACACTGCAGGCGCTAGAGTGGGCTGGTGCCGGGCGTGCTGTGGAGCGCACGGCATGGGTATGGTATGCGGGCACTCACAGGACGTGGCATCAAGGGCCAAGGGGGGGCACTTGAGGGCGAGGGTGGGCGCGCTGGCGCTGTTGGCCACTTTGCCCGCCACATACGCGGAGGGGTCGGGCGTGCACACGGCCCCGCCACACATCGGCAGCTGCCCGTTGGACGACCCACACACGTTGCACCCGGCGCCTCTCTGCAAGGTGCCGTCGAAGTTGACGCAGGCAGAGGCGTCGAGGAAGCAGTTGCCGCGCACGGTGCAGTAGCCCAGAGAGGCGGCGGGGAAGGTGCCCGAGAGGAAGTTGAACTCCGTGTCGAGCGCCTTGAGTGTGGCCGCAGGCTTGGGCAGCGTGCCCGTGAGGTAGTTTCTGCTCAGCGCGCTGGCGAGTTGCACGCACAGCACAGGAAACAAGGGCTGCGCGTTAGGAACGAATGGGTGCAGCTCGAAGCGGTATGATGGACGGGGGGGGAATGTGAGAGGTGGGGCAGTGAAGTAGTTGGAGAAGAGGAGTTGAGTGAAGGAGGGTGTGCGGCGAGGGCTTTACAGAGCGGAGAGGGCAGCCATGTTGACGAGCGTGGTGGGGACGGTGCCATAGAACCAGTTGAAGTTGATAAAACTGTTGGGGAAAGGGGTGAGGGAGCACGTACACACACATGCATATAAGCACATATGCACACATTCACACACCATGCACACACACATGCACGCATGCACGATCGCGCAGAGGGCCGAAGTGAAGGAGCACAAGAGCAGAAAAAACGGAGACGTGCGAAGAGGCAATCAGAGAGAGGGTGGGGGGAAGAAGGGGGGGGGGTTGGATTTAGGGGCGTGGTTGCACTGACAGCTCCTTGAGGCTGGCTGCGGCCGTGATGGGCACGATGTAGGAGTCGAGGCGGTTGAACAAGAGGTTGGACGACAGCCGCCTGCACACAGGACCAGGGGTGGCGGAGGGAGGGGGGATAATGTGGGTGGCAAAAGGGTGAAACAACGTGGAAAGATGATGAAGGGGTGCGAGAGAGAGGGCGGGCTTGTGATGCCATGTTGAGGCTGCGAGAGTGGCTGCTGCGAGCAGCACAGCCAATGGCATAAGATGTGGGCGGGGTACCACACAGGCTGCCCTCACATTGCTGACACGGCTCACAGAGAGTGAAGGGATGGCTTACAGCGAGGTGAGGGTGGTGAGCTTGCTGATGTCCGAGTGCACTGTGCCACCCAGTTGCCGGCCCTGCAGCTCACTGCACAGCGGGTTTCAGGGAGAAGCAGGGGCAGGAAGGGGCAGGGGAAACAGGTGAGTGAGAGGCGGCAGGAGAAGCACCCGCGGCGCACAGGCAGAGCGGGGTGGGGGAGGGAAGGTCAGCAGGACCGGCGCAGCACTCACAGGGCGACGACTTGGCCGAGCGGAGAGCAGCGCACGCCAGTCCACGCCCCAGCAATGGGTGTCTGGCCCTGGATGGTGCACGACCCCACCAGCTTCCAGTCATACTGCATCATCGACCCCCTCCCTTGCAGCACGCGCCGCTTCCCCCCCGACTTGGGCTTCTTGCCGGTCTTGGTCTTAGGGGAGGTGGCCTTGGGGGCGGCGAGCGTGGCGGCGGTCCAATCAGAGAAGGTGGCACCCAGCGTGGTCTTGAGTGCCAGCAGGATGTTGCCCTGCGTGGCGTCCAGCGCCACGCCCACGCAGAAGCGCGGTCGCGGAGCGTAGTAAGGGCCGTTTGGGTATATGTTGATTGTGTTGGGCACACACGTGCCGCCGCCGCAGATGGTGCCCGTGCCGTCCGGCGAGTCGCACACGGCGCACTCAGTAGTGGCGTTGCGCTGCACCGTGCCTCCCGTGGTGCAGGCGCCGATGCTGGCGAAGCAGTTCTTGGTGGCGGAGCAGGAGGAGAAGCCGGCGCCGGGGAAGGTGCCCGACAGCCAGTTGCCGTCCACAGCGAGCGTCTTGAGTGCGGGGGCCAGAGGGGGCACGGCACCGTACAGGTAGTTCCACCTCGCCCCACTACGGTGAGAGGGGGAAAAGAGAGGGAGGAGAGGATGGGCGGGAGGGGTGAGTGTGGAGCATTTGAGTGGACCGGAGAAGCCTTAGAGAAGGAGCGGCACGGCTCCGGGCAGCGACACACAGGCAGTGGTGTGAGAGGGATGAGGCAGAAGCATGGACGGTACCTGCGTGAGGTCAAACTGGTTAAAGAGTTGGGATGTGGGCGTGAGGTGGAGGCGGCAAGTGTCATATTATCATCTTCATTGTAACCTGCATCTATCCTATAAGCTTCGGTTCAAGATAGGCACCAAACTTAGTTTGGGTGCACAACTAGGGTTAACTCTAGTTTGAGGTTGGAACCCAATCTTGGCCCAATTATTGGGTCCCAAGGTTGGGTTGGGAGATTATTGGACCCCTCAATAATGTTGACCCACTTTGGTCAACATTATTGGTTCCCCCAATAACTCCCCAACCCAACTTATTGGTGGGGGCCAATTATGTTGGCAATATTACCTCCCATTTTAGCTCAACTATGTATACCCGCATGTTTCTCTTAATGCAACCATCAGTTCTTCTTCAAACTTTGTCACAGCAAGGCAGAGAAACTCTGAAAGAGGAGGGAGTGACAAGGGGCGGTGATACTCACAAGGTGGAGAGGGAGGCCATGGCCACGAGGGCGGAGGGGATGGGCCCCGAGAAGTAGTTGTAGTCAAAGTAGCTGCAGGGGCACACGGAGGAGAGGCCGGAAGGGGGTATGGGAGTGGGTGGGTGGGTGGAGAAGCATGGGAGTGGTGAGATTGTGAGACGGCACGAGGAGGTGACACGGCGATGCTACAACAGCAGCTTCTTTCGAGGCAAGCCCGTGCAGTGAAGTGGTCCCATGGAGCTGCCACTCAAGCACGTGCAGTGCAGCGCGGTGCGGCGCGGTGCGGTGCAGTGGTCGCATCTCATCCGAGGCAGGCGGCACTCACACTTCCTTGAGCGCCGTGAGCGCCTTGAAGTTGGTGGTGAAGACGTCCAGACGACCCTCCAGGTAGTTGGTGCGCACATTGCTGCGAGGGATGCAGGGGGCCCAGGCACAGAGGAGAGCAGAGAGACGCAGGCGTGAGATGGAAGGTGAAGCAAGGAATGAGGAAGAAAGGTGAAAGCGCAGATGAAGTGAGAGGGACAACGGACACAGGAGGGGACGGATGGAAGCATGCAGCGAGCATATGCACACATGCATGGAAGCATTTGCACATGGAAAAGTGACTAGTGGGGAGGACAGCAGGTGGGGTGGGGGGGCAGCATGTCGATCGGAGCAGGCAGAGCAAGTAGGCATGCGACGGGGAGAGCGAGGAGAGGGGTGAGAGCAAGAGGAGGTGGGGTAGTGGGAAGAGCCATGGCTGCTGCAGCTTGGGGGCCTGCTGGAGCTTGGGGGCCTGCTGCATAGCCTGGATGAGGGGTAGAGGGGGCCGGATGGCGGATGAGTAGCATGAGATCTAGAACAGGCTGTTAGGCACAGACATCGTCTGCCTGCTTGCGTCCTGAAGATCCGCCTGCTTGTACCTGCTGTGGAATCAATATAAGGGACCGTTAGGGAAGAGAGGAGAAAGGGGTATGATGAGAGGGATGTGATTTACATTATCACATGCACGTGTGGGCTTACATGTAGGTGAGGGAAGTGAGCTTGGAGATGTCCGCATGCATGGTCCCTGGAACATACTGCTGCGCCAGATTGCTGCACAATGACCAACCGCCACACAGACACAACACAACCACACACACAAGGCACACACAGAAGCACATGCACGAAAGACAGAGTCTAGCTGACAAGGATCTCAGAGAATGACAGCAGCCCATGAGGAGTGGCACGGCACATGAACGGAGGTGCAGTGCGGGTTCAGAGGCACTCACAGCGAGATGAATTTGCCCCAAAAGGCACTCAAAGCGATATGACTTCGCCTGGGGAGGACAGTGCGGGTGCAGTGCGGGTTCAAAAGGCACTCACAGCGCGACGACTTTGCCGTTGGGGCTGCAGAGGACGTTGGACCAGGCGCCTGGCAGCGGCGGCACCCCCTGCATGGTGCAGGGCGCGCCCAGCGCCCAGTTGGTGAACGCCAGCCCCATCGACGCCTTCACGTTCAGCAGCGCCGCCGCTGCGAGTAGCAAGGAGGGGAGCAAGGGGAGGAGGTGAGGGGAGGAAAGGTAGGGGAGGGACAGAGAGGCAGCAGTCTGTGAACGTCACCCCCAGCGATGCCCTCACGTTCGGCAGCGCCGCTGCTGGGTGAGGGGAAAGGGGGGAGGAGAGGGGGGGGGTGAGAGGGGGGGGAAGGCTAAAAAGTGTAGAGTGGGAAATGGATGGCGTCGAACAAGGTAAGGATGCGGGGGGGAAGGGACAGAGAAGGGAACGGACGCAGCACAAGTGGTGAGAAAGTAAGAGCTGCATGGCTGTGCGGGCACACGATTGGTGATGTACCAATGCATGCGCCCCTGCGTATTTCTCGAGACAACTCAAAAGCCATAATGCAAGGGCCACACGCACTGCCTGCTCCCCGCACTGCACAATCCTCCCCCCCAGCACACTGACCCATGGCAGGATCCATGGAGGAGCCAACGCAGAAGAGCGCGGCGGTGCCATTGTTGACAGTGGTGGCGGCGGTGGGCGTGCAGATGCCGCCGTTGCACATGCTGCCCGTGGCGTCGGGCGTCTCACAGATGGCACAGGCGCCTGCAGCGCGCTGAGCAGAGCCGGCGGGGCACTTGGAGGCGTCCTGCAGGCAGTTGCTGGCGCAGGCGACGGAGGTGGCGGTGGTGGTGGGGAAGGTGCCCACCAGGTAGTTGCTCGACAGGTCGATCACCTTGAGGGTCCCTGGCAGCGCTGCCGGCATGCTGCCTGTCAGGTAGTTCAGGTTCAGCCGCCTGCATTGCACGCCCCAGTGGTCGACAGCGGTGGATAGTGGTGCACAGGGATTGAAGGGCACGGGAGAGGGGCCGGGAAAATGGAGGGAAAGGCAAGAGGGAGAGAAGAATGGGAGACGCAAAAGGAGTTAGTGCGAACCGGCAAGGTGATGAGCGGTGAGGCATGGTGATGAGTTGCAATGTAACTAACATGGCAGGTAAGGAAGGATGTTTGAGGAGAGAGAGGGGGCAGGGAGGGAACGAGCTTACAGCTCCGTGAGCGCAGTGAGGGCGGAGATGCCGGTCGGGAAGGAGCCCGAGAAGTAGTTCTGGTGGAGGCGGCTGCACGCATGGGCGCAGCACACAGGGGGGTGACGTGATGTGAGTTGGGGCAGAGAGGGAGGGTGAAGGGAGTGCAGGCAGAGAGACAGCACGCGAATGGCGAAAGAGCGGGCACGAAACTCTCATGGGGCTGGGGGAGTAGCTTACAGGGAGTTGAGAGTCTTGAGGGCGAGGAAGGGCGCGAGGAAGGAGTCAAGGCGGCCAGAGAAGAGGTTGGCCGACAGGTCCCTGCCAGCCACGGTGGGCACAGCGCAGCGCAGCGCACACACACGGCACACACGTGCTTGGTGGAATGTATTGGCATTGCAAGGAGTGCAAGGCATGAGCTGGAATGTGAGGGGCATGCTGTGGCGTGTGAGGGGCATGCAGAGGCGTGTGAGGGGCATGCAGTGGCGTGTGAGGGGCATGCAGTGGCGTGTGAGGGGCATGCAGTGGCGTGTGAGGGGCATGCAGTGGCATGTGAGGGGCATGCAGTGGCAGTGAGAGGAGAGCTTACAGCTTGGTAAGCGCGGAGAGCTTTGACACGTGGATGGGGAAGGAGCCCGAGGCCTTGCCGCCCGTGAGAACACTGTGAGACGCCACGTGGTACACACAGTCAAATGCCACATGGCAGGCACACAGGCATGAGAAGTCCGTTAAGCGAACACGAATGATGGCACCACACGGTGCATGGCACATGCATGAGCACAGTATGGCCTCATGAGTGCACCCTGCTTCATGGCAGCATGCGTGGCGCATGCAGGATGGCGCATGCAGGATGACGCATGCAAGACAACGCATGCACCCGCATCACAGGCATGAAATGGAGGTGCGAAAGGGGGCGGGTTGGGCCGCAGAGAGGGGCGGGGCGAGCAGGCGGGTGTACATTTCGAGGACGAGCCCGGCAGGGTTGCAGTAGACGGAGGGGGAGGTGCCGGCGGCGGTGGGCTGCCCTGCCAACGTGCACGTGGTCTGCGCCCCCCACTGCCCCGGCGTCATGGCCACCAGCGCAGACGCTGCCACGGATGCGCAAGGGGGGGAGGGGAGGGGAGGGAGGAGTGTGCATGAGGGCGTGGTTCAGGCTCAATCGGGATGCTCTCAAGAGGGAGGTCTGCGAATGACCCGTGCAGAGGCAAGGGAGAGAACGGAGCGAATGCCAGCGAATAACAGCCCGGGGCCCTTGCGTTGCACCTTTTTCTGCCAACGTCCCTTGACCTCTTGCGCTCTTCATCCCCCCAGCCCGGAGCCTTGTAGCCGGAACGTCTTCCCAGGAAGGCCGGCGTGCATTGTGTGCAGTGCAGGGGGGGGGGGGGGGGGGGGGGGGGGTGGGCGCACCTTGGGTGGCCTGGATGGGTACAGGGTCGCAGCGCATGGCGGGGGCGGGGCTCCACTTGTTGATGGCTGTGATGGGCGATGGCGTCACAGGCACACACGGGTTGCCCATGCACGCCGTGCCCAGGCCGTCTGTCATGCCGCAGATCTGGCAGCTGGCGCTGGGGTTGGGAGCGTTGGGGTTGAGCGAGTTGCAGGTGGTGTAGGTGGGGATGCAGTTGTAGTAGGCCGTGCAGTAGGTGGCGCTGTTGGCCGGGAAGGTGCCTCCCAGGAAGTTCTGGTCCACCATGAGACGTTTGAGTGCGGTGGAGATGGGTGCCGGGAACGTGCCTGTGAGAGCGTTCACGCTCAGCTCGCTGCATTCGGGGGGAAGAATGGAGGGAGGAGGGGAAGTGGGGGGGGGGAGGGGGGGAAGAGAGGAGAGGGAGGATGAAGGGGGAGAAGGAGAGGTGAAGGAACAAGCAGAAAAGGCACAGGAGCAGGGGCATGGGGAAGGTGTTCACGTAGGGGGCGAAGGCAATGGCGGTGAGGTAAGTGGAGACATGAGCAGGGGCATGGGTTGAATGGGCAGGGCAGTAACAAGTGCGCAAGGGACTGGTGAGATAGGCCTGAGCAGTTAAAAAGACCGGAGAGGGTGGGCCACTGACAGGTTGGTGAGCTTGGCGAAAGAGACGAGCCAGAGGGGCACAGAGCCGTAGAGATAGTTGTTGCTGAGCTTGCTGCGCGCGGGGGGGAAGAATGGAGGAGGATGAAGAGGGAGACGAGGACAGAGATGATTGCAAATTAGCAAGGCACTCACAGCAAGAGAAGGTTAACACTCACAGCAAGAGAAGGTTAACACTCACAGCGATAGCAGGTTGGTGAGCAGCTTGATGGCCGAGGCCCAAGGCTCGACGGGTGCTCTGAGAAAGTTGTAACTCAGCTCCCTGCGGTGACGGCACAACAGCACACGCGCATGGGTGCAGTGCAGTGCAGTCACGGCCTTGCTGCCCGCAACCGGAATCCATACACAGTAAATCGGAAGCGCTCACAGCACAAGTGTGTGTGTGTGTGGGTAGCACTCGCAGCATAAGGAAGTGTGTGTGTGGGCAGCACTCACAGCACGGTCAGTGCAGAGAGCTTGCTGAGGTCAGCGTGGAGAGAGCCAGTCAGCTTCTGGAACGGCAGATTCCTGCCGGTGTGGGGAAGGGGGAGGGAGCACACGGTGGGAAGGAAGGTGCTGCCGTGGTTAACTCGGATGACTCATTGCTGGCACGGCACTGCGTGTTACTATTCCCCCAATAACAGATGCAGCAGGTTTGCAAGAGGGATGCAGAAGAGGGCACAGGTGCAAGAGGAGCACTGACAGGCTGACAGGCTGGCCGAGGGCATTGCAGCGCACGCCGGAAAAGGCACCAGGAGCGGCCGTCTGCCCCTCCACTGTGCAGTAGCCACCCGTGGTCAGCCAGTCCGTCAGTGCCACACTGCCACTGCCCGCCGCCGCCTTGGGCTTGAGCAGCGTCGTGGGGGCCGTCCAGTCCGATAAGGTCACTCCCAACGCCGTCTTTATGTTGAGCAGCGCCGCGACTGGCGCCGCGCAAGAGATGGAGGCCATGGAGGGGAGGGAGTCGCAGAAAGGAGCAAAAAACACGGGGAGAGGAATGAGTGAGAGAGTGGCCAGAGAGAGAGAGAGAAGGGGGGGGGTTGGGAGGGTGATGGCAGCATGGCAGGTGTGCAGCAGCGCATCACCTGCGACGGTGTTCATGATGACCCCCGTGCAGTACATGGGCATGACGGGCGTGGACAGCGTGGGGGTCTGTCCCGCCACCACAGCCGCTGTGGCGTTGGGCACGCACAGCCCGCCGCCGCACAGAGTGCCCTGGGCGTCAGCGCTGCCGCAGATGTTACAGCCGGCACGGTTTTGAACGCCGCCGGTGGTGCAGCTGCCCTGGGAGGTCAGGCAGTTGAGCGCAGCCGAGCACGCCACGCCGGGGAAGTTGCCGATGGCGCCCGACAGGAAGTTGCCTCCAATTTCCAGCGTCTTGAGCGCCGTGCCTATGGCGCTGGGCAGGGGACCTGTGAGGTAGTTGTAGCTCATGTCACTGGGAGGACGGCACAGCAGCACACGGGCAGGTGGAGCGAGAGACACAAGGACGTGAGAGGCTGGGTGGTGGGTCTTGTAGCACAGCAAGGCATCAGGGTGGGTGCACGAGGCAAGCAGAGGATAGGTACAGGGGAAAAAGAGGCAAGGAGCAGGCAGCTTGTAACAAAAGGTGGGCAGGCAGTGGGGGATGAGGAGGGATGAAGGCGGTACAGGTGGGTGAGGAAGGGCAGCCAGAGCAGCGTTTGGGTGGGCATCGTGCCCGAGAAGAAGTTGAAGCGAGCCTTGCTGCAGACGGGCAGGCACGGGGGGGCGGCAGGGTGGGTACGAGCAGTGAGGGCAAGGCACGCAGCACCACACAAAGTGAGGGCACACAATCTGGAAGAGCAGAGAGCACAGGGATAAAACGCACCACCGTCACATGTGAGCATGCGACAGGGGCCATGGCATGGACAGCGGGCAGGCAGGGAGCAGAAGCGACTGACAAGCGCTTGAGTGCCACGAGGTTTCTGAAGTTGGTGGTGAAGTAGGGCAGGCGGCCCTGCAGCAGGTTGCTGTCCAGCACGCTGCACGCACGCAGGGGGGCGCGGAGGAGAGGAGAGGAAGAAAGGGGCGGTGGTGAAGAAGAGCGTGTGAGTGGCAACAAGACTGAGGGGCGGCAGTACGGCCACAGGTGGAGTTGGGAGAGCAGGTGCAGTTGGGGGCTTACAGCGAGGTGAGAGTGGTGAGCTTGTAGATGTCAGAAGGCAAGCTGCCCTTGAGCCCTTGATTCGTGAGGTTGCTGCAGAGAAGCACAGGCAAGCAGGGGAGTGAGGTGAGAAGGCAGCGAGGCAATGGGAAGGAAAGGGAAGCATTGGCGAGTTACACAAGACAGAGGCGATGCAGACTGCTTAGCAGCGAGGCCAAAGCTAGACCTGCGACTCACATGCTGGTGACCTTGGCAGCCGAGTCACACTCCACGCCGGACCACGACCCCGCCACGGGGGCCTGCCCCGCGATGTTGCACGGAGCCGTGCCCACCCAGTCCGTCAGAGTCACCCCCAGCGACGCCTTGAGGTTGAGCATGACGCCGCGCATGGTGACCTCGATGGGGCCACCCACGCACGACATCGCCAGCACCGCTTGCCCCTCCGTGTTGGGCGTGCCGGCAGCAGCGGGCGCGGCGGCGTTGGGGATGCAGAAGCCGCCGCCGCAGAACGGGCCGACAGCCCCCGTGGTGCCACAGATGTTGCATTCTGTAGCGGCCCTCTGTGCGGTGCCGAGCGTGTTGGTGCACTTGGAGGCGTCTGTGAAGCAGTTGGAGCGCGCATCGCACGCCGTGAGGCCGGTGGTGGGGAAGGAGCCCGAGAGGAAGTTGCCCGCCACGTTGAGCGCCTTCACCGCTGCCCCCACGGCTGGCACCACCCCCGTCAGGTAGTTGCGGTTCAGCTTGCTGCGCGCAGCCATGGGGAGGGGAGAGGGGGTGCAGGGAGGATGGGGGGACGAGAAATGGCAATATTTAAGCAATGATGAGTGGTGAGTGATGGGTGCTGGGAGAGGAAAGGTGGGAGAAGAAAATATGTGGGCGAAGAAGGGGTCCACCAGGAGGGGGCACGCAGAGAGCAGGTGGCGAGAGGCACTCACATGCTGGAGAGGGCTGGCAGGGCGAGGAGGGCGGAGGGGATGGAGCTGGAGAACCAGTTGTACTGCAGCGAGCTGTGAGGGGCGGGGCGGACGGATGAGCATGGAGTGAGGGGGAGAGGGCGGCGATAGATGGTGCTCTGAGGTGACTGGGTGGGTGCAGACCGTGGAACGGTGGTGGTGGTGGTGCTGGTGATGGCGGTGGTGGGGGCGGAGATGGTGGTGGTGGTGGTGCAGCAGCACTTACAGCGACTTGAGTGTCTTGACAGCGGTGAGAGGCGCCACGAACGCATCAAGGCCCCGCTGGAAGAGATTGGCGCTCAGATCCCTGCATGTGTGCCATGCCACGTAGGTAGGTATGGGAATCACATGCATGCACATGCACATACACGCAGCAGTGAGGATATAGCACCAGTGAGGGTGAACTATGCTGGTCAAAGAGCGTGCAAAGGCGTGCAAGGGCATGCAAGGGCGTGCAAGGGCGTGCAAGGGCGTGCAAGAGCTGAGTGACGCACAGCGCGGTGAGAGCTGTGAGCTTGCTGATGTCCGCCGACAGGCTTCCAGTGAGCTTCTGGTTGGGCATCACCCTGCAGGAGCAGTGGACGAGAAGAGAGGGGAGAGAAGGGACACAGAAAGAGGGAACGACGGAGGAACACGGGTGAATATGCGGGCAGGAGGGCTGGATGACGGGAGACGGCATTGGGGAGGGAAGAGGAAGGCCGGCATGCCTGTGGGTGCCCACGGACGGGCTGCTCCACGCACCAGTGCGCCACATGTGACGCGCAGTGGAGCTGCAGAGGCGCACAGGGGCGCACAGCACAGCAGGCGGGCACTCACAGGGCGACGATGGCACCAGCGGAGTTGCAGAAGACGCCGGTCCACGAGCCGGGAGCAGGGGTCTGCCCCTCGATGGTGCAGGCGCCCACCATGGTGGCGAGGGGCACGCTGCTGCTCTTCAGCGCCTTGGGCTTCAGTGCCACCGTCGTTGCACTCCAGTCCGTGGCCGTCACTCCCAGCACCGTCTTCAGCGCCAGCAGCGTCGTGGCTGCACGTGGGAGGAGAGGGAATGGGGTGGTGGTGGGTTTAGGGCGAGAGGAGGGGTGCAGGGCGAAGGTAAGATTGGGAAAGGGAGCAGGAGAGGGGCATGCGAGAAGGAGCAAGCAGCACTCACTGGTGTTGGTGTCCAGTGCAACCGGCGTGCAGTAGAGGTTGCGAGGGAGAGATGTGGCGGTGGGAGGCGCCGTGACGCCGGTGGTGTTGACAAGGCAGGTGACACCCCCGCACAGCGTGCCCTGGCCAAAGCTGGTGCCACAGATGGCACATTCCGAGGGGGTGCGCTGTGTGATGCCAATAGACGCGCAGTTGTTGGCGTCGGTGAGGCAGTTGGTGGTGGCGGCGCAGTAGGTGAGCGCGTTGGTGGGGAAGGAACCCGACAGGAAGTTGCCCTGCACGTCCAGCGACTTGGCGGATGCTGGCACGGTGGGAAAGGGGCCCGTGAGGTAGTTGTAGCCCACGGAGCTGGGAAGGTGGGGGGTTTGGGGGGGGGGGGGGGGGGGGTGTGGTTGGGAATTTGGGGAAGTGGGAAGGAGAGCGGGGGGGAGACAAGGTGGGGGAAGGCAGGAGCAGGTGCGGAGGGAGAATGAGGGAATGTGTGAGAGATGCTGTGCGACTGGAGAGATGGTGTGCGATTGGAGAGTAGCAACGGTGTGGGTGACGTGCGAGAGTGGAAGGCGGGGTGGTGCAGAGCACTCACAGCTTGGAGAGAGTGGAGAGGGCGAGCAGCGTGGAGGGGAACGGACCAACAAGGTAGTTGAACTGCAGAGCGCTGCAGGCATGCGCAGCACAGGCCATGGGAGGGGAAGGGTGGAGGGAGAGGAAAGAATGGTTAGGGGGTCAGGAGGAACGGGCGAATGGTGATTTTGCTGTGCAGGGCAGAGTTGAGCATGGTCAAATATACCCACAAATGGCTGCATTTATGGGTGGGTGCATGGATGGCTGCATGCATGTGTGGGTGCATGGTTGGCTGCATGCATGGGTGGGTGCATGGGTGGGTGCATGCATGTGTGGGTGCATGGGTGGGTGCATGGTTGCAGGGATGGGTGCATGGGTGGGTGCATGCAGAGAGCGTTAGCGGGAATTGGTGACTCACAGCTCCTTGAGCACGAGGGGCGTCTTGATGCTGGCTGTGAAGGAGTCCAGCCGCCCCTGCAGCAGGTTGGACTGCAGGTCACTGCAGGGCGCAGCCATGGGAGGCGAGCACACAAGAAACGATTCAGCATAACGCAGACTGGCATCTTGAGTTGCGGACGTGTTGAATATCAGGAACGCAGAGCGCGTTTGAGGCGCCTCAAGAAACGGATGCGCAGGGAATATCAGAATTGAAGTGCAGGTAGGTGAGAGTGAGAGGCGGAGAGAGGAGGGCGTGAGGACTGACAGCAAGGTGAGCGTGGTGAGCTTGGAGATGTCGGAGTGGATGCTGCCCGCCAGCTTCTGGGAACCCAGCACTCTGCAGATTTGGCTCAACAAGCACGGCAGCATGGAGAGTGCATCGAGCGAACGTGATGACTTGAGCAATATGAGGTCTAGAAAAGCAAAACGCCAAAGGTGGGTCTCTACAGGGGCTATATGTGCCATCCTGGGAGGTATGGGTGTGCCTGCCCACCACACAAACAGGCCCTTCTGTCCCAGCTGGTTAGCAAATTGGAGCTATCCCTGCATGGTGCGGTAAGCGTGGACCGATGTGCGCGAGGGACCTGTGCTTGAATCCTGGTGTCAGCAGGCTTCCTGTGTCCTAGTGGTGGGCGTTCCTAGTGAGAAGAGTGTTGAAAGAGGGCACTGGGATGACCCTAACTGTTCTCCCAGTTGGTTAGCGAACTGGAACTATTTCTGCACACTCACATGCTGAGCACTTTGCCAGTGGCGTCGCAGGCTACCCCACTCCATGACCCGGGGGCGACGGCATCGGGCAGGGAGCAGGGCGAGTCGGCCTTCCATTCAGTGAAGGTCACTCCCAGCGACGCCTTGAGGTTCAGCATGGCTGCTGCATGCACCGAGTCCATCGCCACAAACGCCGCTCCCACGCAGATGAGCGGCAGTGTGGGAGACGCGGCACTGTTGGGAGCACCGAGTGCCACGAGGTCCGTGGCGTTGACGGTGCACAGCCCGCCGCTGCACAGGCGGCCCTGCGCGTTGGTGGTGTTGCAGATGGCGCAGGCAGCAGCGGCGCGCGGGAGCTCGGCGGCGCGGTTGGGGTAGTTGCACTTGGAGGCGTCGAGGAAGCAGTTCATGCGCGCGGCGCAGCGGGAGAGCGTGAGCGCGGGGAAGGTGCCGCCCAGGAAGTTGAACTGCACGTCCACCACTGCGAGCGGGGATGTCACCGGGGGCAGCGCGCCCGTCAGGTAGTTGTAGCCTAGAGTGCTGTGGGGCAGAGGAGGGCACGGTGGGGCGGGGAGGCAATTGCCCATGGATGAGCCAGTGTTATGGGTGGAGGATGGAGGTGAGGTCATGATGGAGGAAAAGAATCGCAAGGTGTTGCGGAGGGGGCAGAGCGACGAGCATGGACACAAGAGGAAGCACTTGCAGGCGCGTGGAAGGGGCCGTGGAGTGGGGAAGTGGGGCGTACATCTTCGTGAGGCTGGGGAGGGTGAGCATGAACGCAGGCACTGAGCCGGAGAGCCAGTTGTAGGCGAGATCGCTGGGGGCATGGGGCGGTGGGAGAGCAGAGGCAGAGACAGAGACAGGGGTGGGTGAGAGGATGATGTGAGGGAGCTTAAAGACACGGAAGGATAGAGTGGAACAAAAGCAAGGAGAGTTGGACACATGAGCACAGGCATGCTGTACAACCCGCCTGCGGTGCTATAGAGAGGTGGGTCTATGGTTGGCTTGGTAGAAAGATGATTGTCATGATTGTCCCAGCTTCATGCACCAACAGCAGCAGCAGCTATGGCAACGCACATGGACTTGAGGTTGGTGAGCAGGCGCAGCTGCGTGGCAACTTCGTCCAGGCGGCCCTGCAAGAGGTTGGAGGTGAGGTCGCTGGGGGGAGGGGCGGAGAGGAGAGAGAGCGGGGAGAGGGAAGAGAGTCGAGAGAATGAGGAGAGGGGCAGGGAGGATAGATAATGTGGAGAGCAGAAGAGAGGAGAGAGAATGAGGAGAAGGGCAGAGAGGAGAGAGAATGAGGAGAGGAGCGGAAAGGAGAGAACGAGGAGAGTGGGTGACACAAGTGGTCGGGTGTCTATCAGACACGCAGATTTTTGTTGTTGTGACGAATTAATTCAAGCGCGGAAGTGGAGAAGCAATGGCAAGCAAGGGCGGGCTGCAGGGTCCAATCTGAGAAGTCAAGAAACAGTGGGCAGGAACGCAAGCAGAGAGCATGGAGGCAGCGGGCAGGGAGGCAGCGGGCAGGGAGGCAGCAGCAGGCAGGGAAGCGGCTCACATGGCAGTGAGCGCAGTGAGGGTGGAGACGGCGAGCGGCACAGTGCCCGTGAGCTTGTTGTTGGGGAGTAGCCTGGTGGACGCGGATGGAAGGTGCGCCACACACAAGGGGTTGGAGAGGTAAGAGAGGGGGCGCATGGGAGCGATGAGTCCAAGGCAAGGAAGAAGACACACCATGGACATGCAGCATGCAGAAAACAAAATGAGTGAGCAGAGGGCAATGGCACTGGGAGTTAGGGAGAGCACTAGCATCCAGAGAGAAGTGGCGCACAGAGCAAGGGCAGACGAGCAGAGGGCAGGGGGGTAGAGTGCAAGCGGACTGACAGGGAGACGACTTTGCCGAGGGAGTTGCAGAGCACGCCATCCCACGTGCCGACGATCTGCGGTGTGGGCGCCACGGTGCAGTAGGTGGCGGGCGCCCACGTGGTGAAGGTCACCCCCATCGCACTCTTCAGCGCCGCCAGCGCAACAGCTGCCGTGCATCGTGGTAGAGAAAAGAGGAGGCGGAGAGGAGGGACAGGGGGGGGGGGGGGTAGGTGTGTAATGGGGGGAGGGGAAAAGCGAGGGAGTGAAGAGGTGAGGTTGGCACATGGCGTTGGGGGAGGTGAGGTGGTGCATGGAGGGGCATAGAGTGTTGGATTAGGAACTACACCACACCACCATGTGCGATGACATCACTCTTGGCGAACGGCGGGGTAATGGACACAGGAAACGGCATGGGTAGAGAGAGCAGAAGTGCAGGCAGCATGGCGATCTGAGGCGAGGCACTCACCGTCAACGCTGCTGATGTTGACCACAGGAGAACCTGCACCAGGAATTCAGAAGCGTTCAGGGGTATTCAGAGGCGTTAGAGGCATTCAGGGGCATGCAGAGGCATTCAGGGGCGTTCAGAGGTATTCAGGGGCATTCAGAGGCATTGGGCCAAAAAGAGGGGAGGGTGAAGGCGCGAGCCAGCAGGAGGCAGAGAACAGAGCGAGTGGGAGGCAGCAGGGGCGAGGCGGACACGGTGGGGAGCAGCACGAGCGCCCCCACAGTGCGGGGAGAAGGGCGGGCAGAGACGCACCAGCGCAGTACATGGGCGGCGGGGCGAGTCCGTCAGGGTGGGCGGTGGTGGCAGTGACGTTGGGCAGGCACATGCCACCCCAGCACAGCAGCCCTTGAGCATCTGCGCTGTTGCAGATGGCACACGCAGCAGCAGCCCTCTGCGTGGTGCTGCTGGCGCCACACGCAGCGGCGCTGGTCAGGCAGTTGAGGCTGGCGTCGCACGCGGTGAGGGCGCCCGCTGCGAAGCTGCCCGCGAGGAAGTTGTCGTGCAGGAAGAGCGCTGCCAGCGTGGATGACACGGCGGGCAGCGACCCTGTCAGCGCGTTTGCATGCACGTCCCTGGCGTGCCAGTAGGAGAGGGTGAGGAAGGGCGGAGAAAGAGGCAAGGAGAGATGAATGTGTGGTGACGAGCATGCTAGGGAGGGGGGTAAGGGGGTGAGAGGGGGGTTGGGTTGCTGATGGAAGCATGTGTGTTGCACACTGAAGTTGTGGCGAGGCGAGTGCGTGCGCAGCAGCACATATGCGAATGAGCGAATGAGTGAGGGCGTAGGGTGGAAACCAACGCTAATCCAGATGACCCTTACAGCAGAGTGAGGGCGGGAAGAGACATGAGGGCCTGAGGCAGGGAGCCCGAAAACCAGTTGTTGTTGAGGCGCCTGTGGGGAGAGGAGGAAGGGGAAGCAGGTGCAAGTGAAGATGTGCTGTACTGCACGTACTGAAGGAGCAAAGTGGCATGCAGTGCGAGGCTGTGTGCAGACAGGCTCACACATGCTGGATCAGCCCGAGTAAGGGCAGAGCATGAGTGAGAACAACACGAGTGGGGGCACATGACGAATCCGGCGGAGGTGTGGGGCGGAGTGGGTGAGGGCGGCGGCACTGACAGCTGCTGGAGCGCCTGGAGGCCGGAGAAGGAAGAGACGAAGCTGGCCAGGTTGGCGCGCAGCACGTTCTTGGACAGGTCGCTGCAGGGGCGGGCGGGATAGACGCAGCACAGAGCACGCGCAGACGGGAGGACACGGGAGGCGCAAGGGGCGACGGGAGCGGGTGGGCGGCAGAGACAAGGAGCAGGCAGAGCTGAGGCGGAGAGGGAGCCTTAGAATTGGCAGATGTGCGAGGCGGACAGGCAGAGAGGAAAGTGGGTGGGGAAAGGTGAGGGTACGAGACAGCTCGTCGACGGCTTTGGAAGGAGAAGCGAGCGAGTGGGTTGAGGGCACTGACAGGTAGGTGAGGGCTGTGAGCTTGGTGATGTCAGCGTGCATGCTGCCGGCCAGGGCGGAGGAGGAGAGGTTGCTGCAAACAGTGACATGGGGGGAAGGGAGGGCAGGGAGGACAAAAAGGGAGGAAGGGGGAGTGATGGAGAAAGGAGGCGTGGGTGGCGTGCATCGAAGACTACGGTTGATATCAAATGTGGCATGCAGCAGTAGGCAGTGGGAGCAGGGAGGCAGGGGGCAGGGAAGCAGGGAGCAGGGAGGCAGGGGGCAGGGAGGCGGGGAGCAGGGAGGCGGGGAGCACTGACACGCTGAGGACGTCGCCAGAAGCGGAGCAGAGCACGCCGGTCCAGGTGCCGGCAACGGTTACAGTAGAGTTGGCGATGGTGCAGGGGGAAGCAGCCGCCCAGGTCGAGAACGTCACTCCCAACGCTGACTTCACGTTCAGCAGCGCCACCGCTGTGAGCGATGGGTTTAGAGGGAGGGGAGGACGGGATGTTAGAGGCATGGCAGTGGGAGTGAGGGCGATGGAAAGTGGAAAGAGGGTATACGTGCACAGGAGTGAAGGATGGAGAGTTGCGAAGCATGGAGGCTGGCAGATGAGAAAGAGCAAGGGGTATACGTGCACGGGGAGTGAAGGATGAGCGGCAAGAGGCATGGAGGCGGGACTTCATATGTGCATGCGTGCATGGCGGCAAGGCTTGTGAGCGCACCTGAGCCCGTATCCATTGGTGCAGCCGGATTGTCTGCAAGGGGAGAGTTAGGAAGTTGGAGAGAGTGGGAGAGGGTGAGCATGGCAGGAGGCATGAGGAGGGTCAAAGTGGTGGGAGCAGGCGGAGGAGCGATGCGAAAAGGAAGAATGTCGAAGGAGAGTGAACAGACTGCCATGTATTGCAGCAGAGCACACGCCCAGCCGTGTGCGCCACACACACACTGACCTGCACATGACATGGGCAGGATGGGCTGACTGGGCGAGTTGATAGTGCCAGCGGCGATGGCAGCAGAGGCGACGGGAGCGCAGGTGCCGCCGAAGCAGAGGTCGCCCTGCCCACCCGCCGTGCCGCAGATGGCGCAGGCACCGGCAGGGCGCTGCACGCTGCCGTAGGTGCGGCAGTTGGTGGAGTTGACAAAGCAGTTGTTCTCGCCCGCACAGAACATGAACGCCACATTTGGGAAGACCCCCGAGAGGAAGTTAAAGCCCACGTCCAGAGCGAGCAGGGCCTTGGAGGGGATGGGCACGGTGCCCGTGAGGTAGTTGGAGTAGAGGCCGCTGCAAGGGGGAGGAAGAGGAAGCGGGGGAAAAGGTGGGGAAGAGGAAGGTGAGGGGAGGGGATGGGAAGTGAGGGGGGGAGTGGTGGGTAATCAGGGGCGGGCTGGGCATGGGGAATGGAAGTTGTTGTGAGTGGAGTGTGCAGCCATGCGGCATTTGGTACGGGGAGAGGGCGGGCGGCATTGACGTGCAGCCATGAAGGATGCTGCTCGCTTGGCTTACAGTGAGGTGAGTTGAGGCAGTGTGGCGATGGCAGAAGGAATGGAGCCGGCGAAATAGTTGTAATGGAAGAAGCTGCGATGGACGAGGGGAGGGACAAATGCGAGGGTGAATGGACGAAGGCGCATAGGAGAATAAGTGGGATGCTAACACAATGCAAGCATGGGATGCACGAGGGATTTGAGTAATTGTGGTGGCCAGGTGTAGCAGCATGTGCCACGCTGGATTGGCACAGCCCAGCGCGCATTGTGCAGCAGCACGAGTCACAGGGGCGGGGGGGGTGGGGAGGGAGACAAAGGAGCAGGTGGGCGTGGTGGAAGGGGGCCCGGACTTACAGCGCCTTGAGGGAGGTGAGGGGCTTGAGTGGGACGGCAAAGAAGTCGAGACGACCCTGGAAGAGGTTGTATCCGAAGTCTCTGCGGCAGGGAGGGGAGAGAGAGCAGTGCAGATGGGTGAGAGAATTGCAAATGGGTGAGGGAATTGCATATGGGTGAGAAAATTGCAGATTTGTCTTGCCTCACAAACGGATATCTCTCCCTGACAGGTGAAGGTTCCATGTGAGCGTGGTGCGATGGGCTTACAGGTAAGTGAGCGTGGTGAGCTTGGAGATGTCGGGATGAATGGAGCCCTTCAGTTGCTGCCGTTTGAGCGCACTGCATTGTTAAGATTAAATAAGGTAAATGGGATTGGCATGATTAACCCGGGGACAGTGAGGTGAGCCCGGTGCCGGGTGAGAGGCGGTGCATGATTGACAGATGGCAGATGAATGGAGGGCAGGGTACGAATAGGAGGTGTATAGGATAGGGAGAGGCAAGAGCAACACCAACAGCAACCCCCTCTGGCATGCTGCACCCACTCACTGTTGTGCCTCACCAGCCATCCCTGCACTCACATGCTCGTGACTTTGCCTGCAGCAGTGCAGCGCACACCACCCCACTGTGCGGGCAGCAGCGCCTGCCCCTCCAGTGTGCACGGCGCTGCCGTGTTCCAGTTGTTCAGCGTCACGCCCAGCGACGACTTGAGCGCCAGCAGCACCGCAGCTGGTGCGGCAGGGGGGGAAGAGGGGTGGGGAAGGGGTAAGAACCACGTTCAGTGAATGACAGTGGCCATGGGGTTGAGAGATGCGAGAGCAGGCGTGAAGTGAGGGGGGTACAAGTGGAGCGTGCACGAGGAAGCTAGTGATTGCATGGGTGCATGTAAATGTGTTACTGCCTGCGAGTGTGCAGATGTCTGTGGGCGCGTGGTGTGGTGAGCATGCGCTCACCATCAGCAGCGTCGATGGCGACGCCACTGCACACCATGGGCAGCAGGGCCGAGCCCGCCACATTGGGCGTGCCCTGTGCGGCTGCGGGGCCAGAGTCAGGCGCGCAGGTGCCGGTGCCGCCACAGAAGGGCGGCTGGCCGTTGGTGGAGCCGCAGATGGCGCAGTCGGCTGTGGGGCGCTGCGTGGTGCCGGCGGAGCTGCAGGCGGCGGGAGAGGCGAGGCAGTTGGAGATGGCGGCGCAGGACTGCAGGGTCATGGTGCCGACGGCGTAGAAGAAGTTGCTGCGGATGTCCAGACTGGACAGAGTGGTGGACGCTGGGAAGCTGCCCGTGAGGTAGTTGTAGCTCAGGTCACTGCAGGAGTCGTAATGGGCAGCGAGATTGGGGATCCGGGGGCGGTGTTGAGATGGGAGGAGACGAGACTCAGAGACGAGTATATGTGCGTGAACAGATGTGCGTGAACAGATGTGCGTGAATGTGAGAACATGTGGGGCAGGGAAGGCAGCAGCAACTTATGAAGGGGGATGCACAGACAAGTATGGGAGCGAGTGAGGAATGTGCGAGGGGGCTCACATCACAGAAAGCAATTGCAGGTTGAAGAGCGCAGTTGGCACAGAGCCATACAGCCAGTTGTACGGCAGGTAGCTGTGGGGAGGGAAGCGGCAGGGCAGTGAAGGGTGGGCACGAGGCAGCACGGGACGATAAGGAGACGTGTGAGGGGGGGTGGAAGAGAAAGGCATAATGGGCCCTAGGGCAGGAATGGGAGGGCAAAGTGCCAGAGGGGAGGATGGGGAAGAAGAGACAGAGGGATCAGGAGAGGCAGCATAGTGACTCAAGCAACGCACGGGCCGGAGACCTGAGCTTGGTGAATTCTGACAAGTGCGAAATGTGACTCACAGCTCATTGAGAAAGGTGAGCGCAAGGAGGTTGGAGGAGAAGGCAGCCAGGGGCGCCTGGAAGAGCTGCGTCGACAGTGACCTGCCCGAGGGGCGCACGGCGCAAGGCAAGAAGGCGCACGGCGCAAGGCGAGGAGGCGCACGGAGCAAGGCGAGGAGGCGCACGGAGCAAGGCGAGGAGGCGCACACAGCAAGGCGAGGGGGAAACACAGGAGGTGGGGGAGCACAGGAAAGTGAGGGGGCGACAGGCTAGGGAGGGAACACATTCTGAGGCGGATTGGCCGATGGCAGGTTAGTGGCAGAGAACGGGTTGTTGCTGAGAAGGCGGCCAACACAGGAGCAGATGCTTGGGTAGCCTCGGACTGCTGGGGGTCGACTCACACGGACGTGCGAATGAGATGCAATTACAGGTAGGTGAGCGATGAGGTGCTCTCTGTTAGAAGAACATGCTACCATGAGCAACGCTAGCTTACAGCTGAAGGGAATGGCTGAACAGTCAGTCATGTTGAATCTGAAATACATAGCGCTGGCTACCTTGAAAAGGAAAGAATGAGGGCGCATTCCTAGCTTCGGGTCATCCCGTTTTTATGTCATCCGAGAATTGTGGGAACCAACCGAAAAACCTGAATCTCAAACCGCGGGTTTTCCGATTGGTTCCCACAATCTCGGATGACACGAAAACCGAATGACCCGAAGCTAGGAATGCGCCCTGCCTGAGACTCGTCCGATGCTAAAAACGACCCATCCATAGTCTACCCACAGCCCTCCCAAAAGGCACTTTTGAAACACTTTCGGGACATTTTGAACAGGATCAATCTTACATCACGTTGAGGAGACCTGGATGGATGGGTTTGGGGCCCTTGTGAAGCTAGCGTGTGGCAGCACCACCAACGTGGTTCGGATTGGAGACTCGGCAACGTTGGCGAAGGGTAGCAGCCAATGAATTTTGAGCGCGTTACTTTAGCCGCTTCTTGCATTTCCGTTACAGGTAAGACTTGACTACAATAATTAGGTCACTTGCAATTTGTCTTCTACGGTTCAAGCGCGGGATAGAATTCCCAGAGCTGCACGCACATTTCTATTGTGCGTGCTTGTGTGTTTGTTGTGCTCACCTAGAAAAAAAAAAAACCAGAGAGCACCAATCGCGGAGCAATAAAGGGACTATTACTCATGCATAGTTGAGCATGTTTTTTAGCATTTTTTTGTATCATTCGTCCTCCAGATTTTAGAATCTTACATACTCACAAGTGAGGGTGAAATGCACTGCAAGTAAGTGAGGGTGAAATGCACTTACAAGTAAGTGAGGGTGAAATGCACTTACAAGTAAGTGAGGGCGAAATGCAGTTACAAGTGAGGGTGAAATGCACTTACAAGTGAGGGTGAAATGCACTTACAAGTAAAGTAAGTGAGGGTGAAATGCACTCACAAGTGAGGGTGAAATGCACTTACAAGTAAGTGAGGGTGAAATGCACTCACAAGTAAGTGAGGTAATCAAGCTTTGAGATGTCGGCTGGGATGCTTCCCGTGAGCCCTGTGTTGGTCAAGTTGCTGCCAAGCAGAAACGGCAGATAGGGAGAGTGAGTGGCAGTTAGGCCTCGCACAGGAAGAAACCCAACACATGCTCTCCCACAGGAACCCATCACATGCTCTCCCACATGCAAAACTGCTTCCGCTCCCTTGCTGCCCAGCTGACGCTGCCAGTCACAGCTTGAACTCGCACCATCGCCCACCCCGCCACCCATGTGTGCCACTCACATCCTGACCACATTGCCGTCGCCGTCGCAGATGACGTTGGGCCACGTGGGCACGGACGGCGACACCACCCACACGGAGCACGGCACCGACGCCGCCCAGCTGTTGAACGTCACGCCCAGCGACGACTTGAGCGCCAGCATGGCTGGTGGGGACGGTGGGTGGATGGGAGAGACGGGTAGATAAAGGGGTAGTCGCGCGGGTTAGACGAGCTAAGTTCAGCGAGTTATGGCAACAGTCTAGGTACGGCGCAGCATGAGGCAGCAGGGCAGAGGAAGCTGTAGTGGTGAGAATCACATGTCAGTGAGAGGTGGTTGCGGCAAGGCAGGCACCGCCAGGCCATTGCTGACAAGATGCGTCCACTGCCCAGTCAACTGCCCACTGCCCACGGCTCACCTGCGCTCTGCGCAATGGCCTGCACGGACCCGCCCACGCACACACGGGGCTGCACGGGCTGCGAGGGCGAGTTCAAGATGCCGATATCCCAAAGAGCAATCACGTCCGCCACGCACTCGCCTCCCGCCCCCCAACAGAAGGGGCCCACGCCGTTGGTGGTGCCACAGAAGGCACATTGTGCCGCAGGCCGCTGAGCCGTGCCATTGCTGATGCACTTGGAGGGCGTGAGCATGCAGTTCCCGGCACAGCCACAGAACGTGTAGTTGGCTGTGGGCACATCCGTGAGGAAGTTTCCTCGCACGTCCAGAGAGCGCAGCTGGGAGGCGAGCGCAGGCACGGTGCCGATGAGGTAGTTGTAGACCGCACCGCTGGGGAGGGGGGTTGGCAATAAGGTTGAATATGAATAAAGGAATGGGTCAGAACTAGAACAGGGAAGGAGATACAATTTGCATGCATCTGACGAAGCAGCATGCAGCCATCCAGCACGAGCGTTTGTATCAGTCTTACAAATTTGTCAGCTTTGGGAGGCTCATGAGGAACGAGGGGATTTCTCCATACAAAAAGTTGTAGTGCAGACGGCTGTGGGAGGAGCACAGATGGTGAGGGCAGAACTCAGATGAGAGGTGATGGAGGTAAGATGAATGGCAGCATGTGGAACGGAGGGCAGAGAATTTGAGAGAAAAACGGGAGTGGGTGAAAAGCTGGGGCAAGACAAGAAGCCAACATCATTCGCCTGCTCTCGCCTTCCCTCCCCTGCTGTCACACTCGCAGCACTCACATGTCGGCGAGTGGCAAAAAACGAAGAGACGTGGTGAAGGAGTCGAGGCGGTTTCTGAAGAAATTGCCCGGCAGGTTGCTGCGAGGGGCGAGCAGAGAGGGCAGGAGCACATTGCTCGAGCACCTCGGGTTAGGGTTCAGGAATCCTGAATGCAATGCAGCATGGCTCGACTAGGCGATGCTATAGATGGGGGGCATCCATTGCATGCTGCCGAGATAAGAAAGATGAAGCAGTCAGTACAACAGCGGACAATATTATTTTGTGAGAGGGCCTATTAGAGCAACAACAACGTGAAAGATACACAACTCACAGGTAGGTGAGAGCAGTGAGGGTGGAGATGTCAGTGGAAAGCGAGCCGTAGAGCTTTGTGTTCTCCAGCGTTCTGCATGTGTTAAAGGAACGGTTGATGGCGAATGGTTGGAGGACACACGCAAGAGCAGGTGGGCAGATGAATACCGTATGGCATGCGGGTGCATGGCAGGCAAATTATGGAAACGGTGTCACTGTGGTGAGAGGAAACACGTGATATGCCCTTGCTGATGCTCACTCACTCACACGCCACAAGACAAGGGAAGGAGAGAACCACTGGCATGTGTCATCGTCATCTTCTACTTGGGCCATAATAACAACAAGCCTTCCTTGCATGCACGTTGCCTCATATTCGCACGATGTTTTACTCGCTAGCGCTGACCATTCCCATGCTCGGAGTTCTCGTGCCCAATATGCCGACTCACATGCTCACGACCCTCCCAGTGCTGTCACACAGCACGCCAGTCCAGACTTTCACTGTGGCGGCCTGCCCCGCGAGTTGGCACGGCACAGTGGCCGCCCATGTGGTGAACGAGACGCCGAGCTCGAGCTTTAGGGCGAGCATGGCTGGTGAGGGGCACGCGGGGACAGGGGCAGCAAGGCAGGCAGAGGGAGGTGGGTGGATGCCCCAAGGAGCACGTGAGGAGACGGCCTGGATGCACTGGCCCTCTAAACGCACGCACGCTGTACCAGGCAGCACAACTCCACACGGCCCCAGCAACATGAATCGTCACAGGCCCCCCACCCATGCCATGCCCATGTGGGATTACTGCACACACTCGTTGCTCCTGTGCCCTCCTACCAGCAAGGTAGGCAATGGGACACAACCCTGCCCCCTGCCCACTGCCCACTGCCCCCTGCCCACTGCCCACTGCCCACCTGCGCTTTCTTTGACGAGCACGGGCGGTGCCGAGCACGCCAGGGGCAGCACGGGCTGCGAGTTTGAGTTCACAGTGCCGGCAGCAACGGATGCAGTCGCGTCCACTAAGCACACTCCTCCTGCCGCACAGAAGGGGCCTGTGCCGTTGGTGGTGCCGCAGACGGCACAGTTTGCCGCGGGCCGCTGAGTGGTGCCAGTAGTGGCGCACTTGGAGGGCGTGAGCAGGCAGTTGCTGTCGCCGCCGCAATATGTGTAGGTGGCTGCTGGCACGTCCGTGAGGAAGTTTCCTCGCACGTTCAGAGAGCGCAGCCCAGAGGCAAGCGCGGGCACGGTACCAATCAAGTAGTTGTAGATAGCACCGCTGGGGAGGGGCAAGAGGGCAGCAAGACGGGAGGTGGATAGAAGGCATTCATAGCGAGTGGGCTGGGCAGACGGGACAGGAGGGCAAGGAAGGAGAGGTGACACGCATCTTAAGAGGCAGCACGCAGCCATCTGGTACGTGACACCTTATCATACGTACAAAGCAGTGAGTTTCGGAAGGCCCACGAGAAACGAGGGGACTTCTCCGTATAAGTAGTTGTAGTGCAGGGCGCTGCAACAAGGGCAGAAACGACGAGGACAGCGATGAGATGAGGGGCAGCATGTGAAACAAAGGTTGAAAGATTGAGACAGGAAAGGCTGAGGCGAGTCAAGTCACCAGCATCATTCGCCTGCTCTCAAGTCCGCTAAGCCACGACCCGGCAGGCACTCACAGGTTGGCAAGCACTGGCAAGGATTGAAGGTTGGTGGTGAATGAATCAATGCGGTAGTTGAAGAGATTCTGCGCCAGATTGCTGTAGGGGAGGGGCGAGCAGAGGGTGCAGGAGACACGGTCATTGCGCTTGAAGCTCGATAGAATGCATCATGCCTCAATCAACTGGGCTCTGGAAAACTCTACCCTACCAAGAAAGGAAACATATAGCATATGATATGACAGAGGAAAGCATTGTCAGCAGGCGAGCGGAACAGCCAGAGCATAGCAGACGCAGCTCACAGGAGGGTGAGAGATGTGAGAGTCGAGATGTCAGTTGGAAGGGAGCCCTTGAGCTTTGTGTTTTGCGCAGATCTGAGGCGCACAACAGTTGGCGGCAGAGCATTAAAGGGCACATGCAAGGGCGGGTGAGCACACAAACACGGCATGCAGGAATGGGCAGGAGAAGGTTTAGGGGTGTCGGGGCAGGCAGTGGAAGCACGGAATGGACATGATAATCCTATGAGGTGCCACACAAGCCACACAGACACGCGTGAACCAGCGGCAATGATATGCTCATCATCGCCATACCAGTGACTATCTACATGCCTGGTACGACCACTCACATGCTCACGACACTGCCAGTGCTGTCACAGAGCACGCCATTCCACACTGCAGCCGTGGTGGTCTGACCCGCCAGTTGGCATGGCACAGTGGCCGCCCACGTGGTGAGAGTGACGCCGAGCGATGACTTGAGGGCAAGCATGGCTGGTAGGGGCACACGGGGAAAGGGGCAGCAAGGCAGGCAGCAGGAGGTGGGGGGAGGGAAGCCCCAAGGAGCACATGAGCAAGTGGGGCACATGAGCAAGTGGAGCACATGAGCAAGTGGAGCACATGAGCAAGTGGGGCACATGAGCAAGTGCAGCACATGAGCAAGTGCAGCACATGAGCAAGTGCAGCACATGAGCAAGTGCAGCACATGAGCAAGTGCAGCACATGAGCAAGTGCAGCACATGAGCAAGTGCAGCACATGAGCAAGTGCAGCACATGAGCAAGTGGAGCACATGAGCAAGTGCTCCCCACCCCCTGCCCCCTGCCCCCTGCCCCCTGCCCCTGCCCCTGCCTCCTGCCTCCTGCCCCCTGCCCCCTGCCCCCTGCCCCCTGCCCCTGCCCCTGCCCCTGCCCCTGCCCCTGCCCCTGCCCCTGCCCCTGCCCCTGCCCCTGCCCCTGCCCCTGCCCCTGCCCCTGCCCCTGCCCCTGCCCCTGCCCCTGCCCCTGCCCCTGCCCCTGCCCCTGCCCCTGCCCCTGCCCCTGCCCCTGCCCCTGCCCCTGCCCCTGCCCCTGCCCCTTCCCCTGCCCTGCCCCTGCCCCTGCCCCTGCCCCCTACCCGCAGCCTACCTGTGCTCTCCTTGATGGCCACGGTCGTCCCGCCCACGCACGCCATGGGCAGTGCGGGCTGCGAGGGCGAGTTCACAGTGCCGGCAGTGATGCGTCCACTCGCGTCCAGATTGCACGCTCCCCCCGTCGACGCACAGAAGGGGCCCACGGCGTTGGTGGTGCCGCAGGGGACACAGTCACCCGCAGGCCGCTGGCCCGTGCCGCCGCTGATGCACTTGGCGGCCGCTGCTGTCGCGGTCATGCAGTTCCCGGCGCAGCCGCACCACGTGTAGCTCGCTGTGGGCACATCTGTGAGGAAGTTTCCTCGCACGTCCAGTGAGAGCAGCAACGAGCCGAGCGCGGGCACGGTGCCGATGAAGTAATTGTAGTAGGCCACGCTGGTGAGGAGGGAGGGCAGCGATAGAGCAGATGTATAAAGGGCCATCATAAGGAGTGGGCAGGCACGACCGGAAGGTAAGGAGAGATAGTATGCACCATCAAAATCAGTATGGGACCATTCGGTACATGCCTTCCTGTCAGACTTACAGATTAGTGAGTTTTGGGAGGCCCACGAGAAACGAGGGGATTTCTCCCCATAAGTAGTTGTAGTGCAAGCGGCTGCAAAAGGAGCAGAGATGATGAGGGCGGTGACGAGATGAGGAGCAGAGATTAAATGAGTAGCAGCATGTACAACGGAGGATGGGACATTGAGAGAGAAACGAGAGTGGGAGTAAAGCTGAGGAGAGACAGGAAACCACCATGATTCGCCTGCTCTCATGCTCACCCCTCCTCCATTGCAGGCCACACTCCGCCACTCACATGTCGGCCACACTCCGCCACTCACATGTCGGCCACACTCCGCCACTCACATGTCGGCCACACTCCGCCACTCACATGTCGGCCACACTCCGCCACTCACATGTCGTCCACACTCCGCCACTCACATGTCGGCCACACTCCGCCACTCACATGTCGGCCACACTCCGCCACTCACATGTCGTCCACACTCCGCCACTCACATGTCGTCCACACTCCGCCACTCACATGTCGTCCACACTCCGCCACTCACATGTCGGCCACACTCCGCCACTCACATGTCGTCCACACTCCGCCACTCACATGTCGTCCACACTCCGCCACTCACATGTCGTCCACACTCCGCCACTCACATGTCAGCCAGCACTGGCAAGGATCGGAGGTTTGTGGTGAAGGAGTCGATGCGGTAGCTGAGGAGATTCTGTTGCATGTTGCTGTGGGGAAGGGGTGAGCAGGGCCAGAAGGTGCAGGAAGCATGGTCATGCGTTTCAACCTCTTCTTTGGGTGGAGCATGGCTCGACTAGGCCACTCAATGAAGCAAAGAAAGGAAATAAAGGGAAGATACAGCGGCATTAATGACAGTAAAAAACATTCTCATACAAAGAAGATCTGAACAGCCGCATAGCAGATGCAACTCACAGGAAGGTGAGAGCTGTGAGCGTGGAGACGTCAGACGAAAGCGAGCCCTTGAGCTTTGCGTTGTTCAGATCTCTGAAGTGAACATTTGGAGGCAGAGCGTTGATGGACACAAGGGCGGGAGGGCAGATGAACAATGAGGGTATGGCAGGCAGGTTCTACAAGCAGTCTCACAGCGGTCGGTTACATGCCGCACATGCCTTTGCTTTGCTGATAATGTAATGATCACTCATATGCCACAATGACATGCATGAACCACCGGCGATGCATAATCAGTGCTTCTTGGGCTTCCATCCTTGCATGCACGATGGTTGTCGGATATGCGGGCAATGGGTTACTCTCTAGTGATAGTCGTCCCCATGCCGGTGACAACTTGCATGCCCATTATGCCGACTCACATGCTCACGACACTCCCAGTACTGTCACAGAGCACGCCACCCCAGACTGTCGCTGTGGTGGTCTGCCCTGCGATCTTGCACGGCGCAGAGGCATCCCACGTGGTGAGAGTGACGCCGAGCGACGCCTTGAGGGCGAGCATGGCTGGTGAGGGGCACGCAGCAAAATTGGGAACAAGGCAGGGAATGGGAGGAAGGGGATGCCAAGTGAGCAAGTGGATCGCGGGCGTAAGGCAGGCAACGAGAGGCGGCGGACGGCCCAACGTGAGCAAGTGGAGGCAGCACACGGCTATGATGGATTTGAAGCGCCAAGCGTCATTGACACACGCTTGGCGCTGGTTTGATGGCACTGTTGACGCTGGTCTGACTCTCGGGCAGGCAGACAAGGAAAAACACAGGCAGGTTAAAAAAAAAAAAAGAACCAGAGGTCAGAGGGGTGGGGTGGGGGAAATGGGAAGGTGTGAAAAAGGGGACAACCACCACCGGTTTAATATATTCATTTTATATGAGCCTGTGAGTTGAAACAGGGGTAGGCTTCAGCAAAAAAAAGTTCAGGTCCTGTTTGGTTTGAGCTGGACATGTTCGGTTTGCTTCAAGTTTCAGTGTCAAGCAGCGCGGAACCTGAAAATGTTCGACTTGGAAATATTTTGTTCGGTACCGCGACCCAACATTTCATGTCGACGATAAGTCAGAATAGGGATCTGAACATTTCGCTTGTGTTCTTTGCACCTGTTTGCACTATCCACTCTGTGTATGTTGTTAATTTGATTTTCCACGGTGTTTTCTGATTTCCACAACCCCCCCAAACCATACAGGCAGTAAGGCACTCTAATACATTCCAAAAATTAGGGTTCTTGGTAGTGTGACTGAACCAAAATACAGCCAAAATGGCGAACACGAACATGTTCACCCGAACATGTATGTGCTCGAGGCGAACACATAAGTGATCGGCTAAAGAGACGAACACACAAACACCCATTTCAGAAGAATGTTCGTGGCAAACCGAACATGTTCTGTTTGCCCCCTAAACATGATCGTCATATGTTCGACCCGAACACGTTTCCATTCGGGTTTTTCTAATCTAGATGGGGGCATAGGTTACGTTGTGTAAAACTTCTGCAGAGGAAATTTATTGGGGGGGTGTCTGTTGTCGTGTCAAGTAAATTTTGTACATCTCATGGGATAACCCAGCTTGACGTCGGTCTGGGGGCAGGTGGGATCGACGACGACGTCGACCGACGTTGGGCTGCTTGGAAAAAAACCTAAACCCCCTCAGATGGCATGCGATCCGAGGGAGGCATCAACCCTAAACACGCTGCCCTAGGTGTTTAGGGTTGGTCCATCCCTGGCCGGATGGCATTCCGTAGGGAGTTTATTTTTTCTGCCCGCGGGCAGCGGGCCCCGCCGGGCGGAGTCGGTTGTCCGTTGAGATGTATGTGTTTGAAGGTTGCGTTTCGGGCGGAAATGTGGGGAGCTGATTTTTCTGGCACAAAAAGAAAACAAATTTCAGCATCAAATGACAACCGCCAAAAGGTAACATTTTTATGGTTCACGCTGCTTTGTCCCGTCGTCGAATCCATCATTGAACGAGCCCTGTGGGCACTGAGCACTGCCCTGAGCAGCACGGTGCACAGTCCCACGAGGCACCGGCATGAGGCAGCAGCGCTGGACCATCGCACATCTGGCCTGTGGCCAACCATGCTGGTCGCACACACCCGTTGCTCACCTGCCCTCCTAGCAACGAGGCACTCATTTACAGACAGGCACACAGATAACAGCCATGCACTGCCCCAGCCCACTGCCCGTGACCCCTGCCTACCTGTGCTCTCTTTGATGGCCACAGTCGTCCCGCCCACACACGCCATGGGCTGCAAGGGCTGTGTCGGCGAGTTCACAGTGCCGGCAGTGACTACTGCAGTCGCATCCAGCGTGCACACCCCTCCCGTTGCTGCACAGAAGGGGGCTACAGCGTTGGTGGTGCCGCAGAAGGCACAATCTGCTGCAGACCGCTGGACGGAGCCACTGCCGCTGGTGCATTTGGCGGGCGAGACGAGGCAGTTTCCGGCGCCCCCGCACCAGGCGTAGTTCCCTGTGGGCACGTCCGTGAGGAGGTTGAATCGCACGTCCAACGTGTCCAGCTTCGACGCGATCGCCGGCACCGTGCCGATGAAATAGTTGTACGTTGCTCCGCTGGCCAGGGGGGGACGGCAGCCAGGGGGCAGATGGACAAAGGGGCTTCATAAGGAGTGGGCAGACAAGACCGGAGAGCAAGAAAGAAGGGAGATTGATGCAACTTAAAAAGCAGCATGCAGCTGTCGCTTCATAAGTGCCTCCGTATCTGACTTACAACTTGCCAAGTTTCGGGAGGGCCATGAGGAACGAGGGGATCTCTCCGTATAAGTAGTTGTAATGCACGGCACTGGGACAAGAGAAGAGACGATGAGGGCGGCAAAGAGATGAGTGGCGGCATGTGAAAGAGAGATTGACAAAATGAGGGAGAAACAGGAGTGGTTGAAAAGCTGAGCCGACACAAGACCAAACCCCACCATCGCCTGCTCTCACTTCTCGTCCCTTGCCGGGCACACCCTAGTATTGAAACACTCACAAGATGTAGAGCGATGGCAAGTTTTGGAGGTAAGTGGAGAAGGAGTCGAGGCGGTAGTTGTGAAGATTGTTCTGCAGGTTGCTGTGGAGAGGGGCGAGCAGGGGATGCAGGAGGCATGGTGGTTGTGCTTGAAGCTCGACTGAATGCATCATGGCTCAACTGGGCAACTCTATCCTTCCTGTTGAGACAGGAAACGTACGGTTCAGCAGCCGATATGACAGCAGAGAACATTTGCATTACAAAGTGGATCAGAGCAGCGATGGCACAGCAGGCGCAACTCACAGGAAGCTGAGAGCTGTGAGCGTGGAGATCTCAGAAGGGAGTGAGCCCTTGAGGCTCGAGTAGGTCTGGGTTCTGAGGGGCACAACAGATGGAGGCAGAGTGTTGGAGGACGCACGCACAGGTGGGTGAGCAGATGAATATGGTATGCAGGTATGGGAAGGTTCGGAAGGAATGTTGTGAAAGCAGCGGTGCCACAGCGGTCAGAGAAAGCACGCAATGATCCTCACTCCGATGCCACAAGGACATGCGCATACCAGCAGCAATGCATGCGTGATCATTCTCCTCTTGGCCTGCCTCACGTGAACCATGGTTAGGGTTATGATGATCGTCTCCATGCCCATGACAAGACGACTAACATGGCCAATATGCCAACTCACATGTCCAATATGCCGACTCACATGCTGACGACCCTCCCAGTGCTGTCACAGAGCACGCCGCCCCAGACAGTCGCTGTGGTGCTCTGCCCCTCGATCTTGCACGGCACAGAGGCCGCCCACGTGGTGAGAGTGACACCAAGCGACGCCTTAAGGGCGAGCATGGCTGGTGAGGGGCACGCGGGGGAAGGGGCAACAAGGCAGGCAGGGGGAGGCGAGGTGGAGGAAGGCCCAAAGCAGCACGTGAGGATTTAGAGGCGGTGCATGGGCCCTGTGGATGCTGCCCAGGGCAGCACAGTCCCACACGGCCCCGTGCCCTAATGAGGCAACAGAGTTGGACTGCCGCAAATTCCCCACAATGGCCAGCTGTGCTGCTTGCATCCACCTGTTGCTCACCTGCCCTCCTAGCAGAGAAGCACCCACCGACAAACAGGCACATGGACAACTATAACGCCTCGCTACCCACTGGGTCAGAACGAGGGTGTTATTCAGGCGCAGGGGATGCCCATGCCTTCAACACTAGTCCACAGGCGTTACAACAGCCATGCACTGCCTCTGCCCCCTGCTCCTCTGCCCCCTGCCCCCTGCCCCCTGCCCCCTGCCCACCTGCACTTTCTTTGACGGCCACCACCGGCCCGCCCACGCACACCATGGGCAGCAACGGCTGTGTGGGCGAGTTCACAGTGCCAGCAGCAACGACTGCAGACCCGTCCGCCGTGCACACCCCTCCCGCCCCCCAGCAGAAGGGGGCCGCAGCGTTGGTGGTGCCACAGAAGGCACAAGCCGAGGCAGGGCGCTGGACGGAGCCACTGCCGCTGGTGCATTTGGCGGGCGAGACGAGGCAGTTTCCGGCGCCCCCGCACCAGGCGTAGTTCCCTGTGGGCACGTCCGTGAGGAGGTTGAATCGCACGTCCAACGTGTCCAGCTTCGACGCGATCGCCGGCACCGTGCCGATGAAATAGTTGTACGTTGCTCCGCTGGCCAGGGGGGGACGGCAGCCAGGGGGCAGATGGACAAAGGGGCTTCATAAGGAGTGGGCAGACAAGACCGGAGAGCAAGAAAGAAGGGAGATTGATGCAACTTAAAAAGCAGCATGCAGCTGTCGCTTCATAAGTGCCTCCGTATCTGACTTACAACTTGCCAAGTTTCGGGAGGGCCATGAGGAACGAGGGGATCTCTCCGTATAAGTAGTTGTAATGCACGGCACTGCGAGAGGAGCAGAGACGAAGAGGGAGGCGATGAGATGAGTGGCGGCATGTGAAAGAGAGATTGACAAAATGAGGGAGAAACATGAGTGGTTGAAAAGCTGAGCCGACACAAGACCAAACCCCACCATCGCCTGCTCTCACTTCTCGTCCCTTGCCGGGCACACCCTAGTATTGAAACACTCACAAGATGTAGAGCGATGGCAAGTTTTGGAGGTAAGTGGAGAAGGAGTCGAGGCGGTAGTTGTGAAGATTGTTCTGCAGGTTGCTGTGGAGAGGGGCGAGCAGGGGATGCAGGAGGCATGGTGGTTGTGCTTGAAGCTCGACTGAATGCATCATGGCTCAACTGGGCAACTCTATCCTTCCTGTTGAGACAGGAAACGTACGGTTCAGCAGCCGATATGACAGCAGAGAACATTTGCATTACAAAGTGGATCAGAGCAGCGATGGCACAGCAGGCGCAACTCACAGGAAGCTGAGAGCTGTGAGCGTGGAGATCTCAGAAGGGAGTGAGCCCTTGAGGCTCGAGTAGGTCTGGGTTCTGAGGGGCACAACAGATGGAGGCACAGTGTTGGAGGACGCACGCAAGGGCGGGTGAGCAGATGAATATGGTATGCAGGTATGACGGGGGATTGTGGAAACGGGATCACCATGGTCAGAGGAAGCACGCGATGATCCCCACTCTTATGCCACAAGGACATCACTAGTAGCGATCATCCCCATGCATGCCGATGATCACTCACATGCTCGTGACCCTCCCAGTGCTGTCGCAGAGCACGCCGGCCCAGACTGCCACCGTGGGGCTCTGCCCCTCGATCTTGCACGGCACAGAGGCCGCCCACGAGGTGAGAGTGACGCCGAGAGAGGCCTTGAGCGCGAGCATGGCTGGTGAGGGGCACGCGGGGAAAGCGGCAACAAGGAAAGCAGAGGGAGGTGGAATGACGCCCTAAGGAGCATGTGAGCAACCGGAATGGATGCCCAGACCCTGTGGACGCGCACAGTACACGGCCCCACACGGCCTAGTGCCCTAATGACGCAATGGCACTCCACCGTCACACATTCCCCCTTGAGTTATCTGTGCTGCACGCACACACCCGTTGCTCACGCTGCCCCCTGCCCCCTGCCCCCTCCTCCCTGCCCATGCCTACCTGTGCTTTCTTTGAAGGCCACCACCGGCCCGCCCACGCACGTCATGGGCAGCACGGGCTGCGCTGTTCCGCTCACAGTGCCGGCAGCGACGCGTGCAGCTGCGTCCACCGTGCACACTCCCCCCGCCCCCCAGCAGAACGGAGACACGCCGTTGGTGGTGCCGCAGAAGGCACAGTCGGCCGCAGCCCGCTGAGCCGTGCCGAGGGTAGCACACTTGGAGGGCGTGAGCAGGCAGTTGCCGGCGCCACCGCACGACGAGTAGGTGACGGCTGGGAAGTCCGTGAGGAAGTTGAATCGCAGGTCCAAATTGCGCAGCCCCGTGGCGAGCGCCGGCACGGACCCCATCAGGTAGTTGCCAGCCATGCCCCTGATGGTAGGGAGCAGCGAAAAGGGGAGAGGAAGGGAGAATGGCATAAGAAGTACGCGATCAGGACGGGAGGGCGAGGAAGGAGAAGGAAGCAGCACGCAAATTCAAAAGCAGCTTGCAGACAGACAGTACGTGGCTTCCTTCCCTGACTTACAAGTAAGTGAGCGCTGGGAGGTTCGCGAGAAACGAGGGGATTTCCCCGTACAAGTAATTGTAGTGCAGGGACCTGTGAGAGTAGCAGAGACGATGAGGGTGGAGATGTGATGAGTGGCAGCATGTGGAAGGAATAATGTTTGTGCATGCACGAGCAGAAACGGAGGTAGGAAGAATGGGAATACAAAGGGCGAGAAAATGCAGGAGAGACAAGACAGCATCATCATCATTTGCCTGCTCTGCTGTCACCCCTCATTCCCTTGCCAACCACACTCAGGCACTCATATGTCGGTTGGACAGGACACTCACATTGAAACTATTGACAGGGACCGGAGGTTGGTTGTGAACGAATCAAGGCGGTAGTTGAAGAGATTCGAGGAGAGGGAGCTGTGAGGGGCGAGCAGCGGGTGAACGGGGACGAGGTCATTGCATGTGATGTGATGTGAACCTCCACTGAATGGATCGTGACTCCACTGGGCAACTCCGCAAAGGTTGGGCCGCCCATTGCATTTGGCCAAGAAAGGAAAGGCGCAGCAGCCAATGCAGCAAGAGGGTGCATCAGCATGGTCTAAGCGGATAAAGCAGCATAAGGAGGGAGCAGATGGAGCTCACAAGTAGGTGAGAGATGTGAGCTTGGAGATGTCAGCGTGAAGTGAGCCCTTGAGTCCGAGGTTACTCAAACCCCTGGTGCACGTAACAATTGGTCGCCAAAGTGTTGGGAGGACACAACACAAGCAACAAGAGCGGACAGAGGATGCATGCACGTGATTGAAGCAGGAGCATGATTGAGGGCACCGTGAAGTGGGTGAGGTCTGGTGTGGGTGCGGCGGTGGTGTGGGTGGGAGCGGTGGTGTGGGTGGGAGCGGTGGTGTGGGTGCGGCGGTGGTGTGGGTGGGGGCGGTGGTGTGGGTGGGTGGGGGCGGTGGTGTGGGTGGGAGCGGTGGTGTGGGTGGGAGCGGTGGTGTGGGTGGGAGCGGTGGTGTGGGGTGGGTGGGGGCGGTGGTGTGGGTGGGAGCGGTGGTGTGGGTGCGGCGGTGGTGTGGGTGGGGCGCTGCTGTGCACTCACATGTCAGACACCTTGCCGCCCACGCAGGTGACGCCATTCCACTCGCCCGCAACGGCCACGGCGGATCGAGCAAAGCGGCACGGGTTGGTGGCGGTCCAAGTGGTGTAGGTCACACCCAGTGTGCTCTTGATGTTCATCATGGCCGCAACTGCAGGGCGTGGCAGATGGGGGTGCACGGCAGTGTGGTGTGGGCAAAGGAAACTTATTCGAGGAGGTGAGAGGAGGTGGGAAGCGGGAATGCACGTAGTGTGGTGACAACCAAGTGGGAGGGGAGGGAATGGTGGAGGGATGAAGCGGGTGAGCACGGTGAGGAGCACGGTGAGGAGCACGCACAATCCACTGGATCCATGAGGAGCGAGCATGTCATGGGCAGAACGGGCTGTGACGGCGAGTTGATAGTGCCGGCAGTGACGGGCGCAGTCGCGTCAACCGAGCACACCCCTCCCGCCGAGGCGCAGAATGGGCCCACGCCGTTGGTGGTGCCGCAGATGGCACACGCTGCGGCAGCGCGCTGACCGATGCCGCTGCTGCCGCACTTGGAGGGCGTGACGAGGCAGTTGCTGTCGCCCCCGCACCACGAGTAGCTCCCCGTGGGCACGTCCGTGAGGAAGTTGCCGCGCACGTCCAGCGAATTAAGCCTGGATGCCACCGCCGGCACGGTGCCGATCAGGTAGTTGTAGACCGCTCCGCTGGTGAGGGGGGAAGGCAGCCAAGGGACAGATGCATAAGGGCCTACAAAAGGAGTGCACAGGGAGGAAGAAAGGGTTGGAACGGAGAAGCAGCATGCACCGGTGCGTGCACTGCTATCAGACTTACAAGGAAGTGAGCTTTGGGAGGCCCACGAGGAACGAGGGGATTTCTCCGTACAAGTAGTTGTAATGCAGAGCGCTGCCAGACGAGCAGAGGCGACGGGGCAGAGATGAGAGGAGAGGTGGTGGTTAACAGATGCATGGCAGCATGTGGAACGGAGGGCGGAAGAAATGAGAGAGAAAGGGGAGTGAGTTAAGCGAGGCGAGTCACAGGACCACCCCCATCATTCGCTTGTTCTCACCCTTGCAAGCACTCACATGAGGGCCAGCGCTGGCAAGGATTGGAGGTTGGTGGTGAACGAATCAATGCGGTAGTTGAGAAGATTCTTCTGCAGGTTACTGTGGGGGAGGAAGGGGCGAGAGGAGGATGCAGAAGGCACAGGCATTGCACTTGAACCTCGCCCTGGGCACTCAACTGGGCTCTAAGCAACTCTATCCTGCCCCGAAAGGAACCATAAAGGAGCCGATATGACAGCGCAAAGCATAATCAGCAGCCGACCAGAACAGCCAGAGAAGAGCAGACGCAACTCACAGGAAGGTGAGAGCTGTGAGCGTGGAGATGTCAGAGGGAAGAGAGCCCTTGAGCTTTGTGGTATCCAGAGATCTGAGGCGCGCAACAGTTGGTGGCAGGGCGTTGGAGGAGACATGCAAGGGCGGGTGAGCAGATGAATACGGTATGCAGGTATGGGCGGGGAGAGGATGAAAGCGGTGTCACAGCGATCAACGAATACGACAGACCGCCTGCACTCTCACGGTAACGAGGCGTTTTACACACCCGCGTGCACTCACAGCCCTGCCTCGCCGCGTGCCGCACTCACGCACCTTGCCGGCGCCTGCACTCACATCGAGGCGATTTTGCCATCAGCGGTGCAGGTCACGCTGTCCCAGTCGCCAGCGGCTGCAGCGGCGCCGTCAAGACGGCAGGGGTTGGTGGAGGCCCACGTGGTGTAGGTGATCCCCATGGCCGCCTTGATGTTCAGCAGGGCGGTCGCTGATGGGCGGGAGGGAGGGCAGAGGAAGAAAGGAGCAGGGCGGGGAAGCGGAGGGGAGGGTGGGGAGGCAAGCAAAGAATGTGGAGCATACCAGGCTTGCTTGCAAGAACCACCAAGTACGCGTGGCAAAGCATGCAGGGCAAAGGGGCGTTAACGGCCGCGAGGGTAGGTGAACGGTGGGAACCGGAGTAGCAAAATGTAACACCCCCATGAGAAAACGGGGATTTTCAGACTCTGCAGGGGTCCGTTCTTAACCGCCGTAATAGATTTTGGAATCGTAAGGGTTTTTTCAAGATTCGTGGGTTCACTCCAAATATCCAACTCGTCGACGCGTTGGTGCGACTGAGGTCATGGCTCTTCAGCAGGTGAATTGAACGCTTCAATTCAGATGACGGTGGGTTTGGAGTTCCCGTGGCCCTTTCAGTAGATTGTTGGCGAGGAAAGAGGCTACAGCATCCACGAATTCTGGCGAGATTTGATGAACCCCGAAGAGTTACATGCTTTGCGACTGTGCAACCACTCTCTTTGTTTTCACTGTCAAGTATCGAACTGGCGATCTTTCGGTCTACTGCTTTTGGCATCCAAGGATATTCGCCAGGATAATTTTGGGATGGTTCGATAAATTTGGGATGGTTCCAAGGACATTTTGCGGTTCGATATGGTTTGCCTCGCATATGTCCCACACAGTCGCGGACAGATGTGGGACAGTTTTACGTATCTGGAAAAAACTATTGCGAGAATAGCCTGATCGGCAGATTCTGGACACCAACTTTTGCAAAATGCATACTACGAAACGCATAGGTGGCTACTACACGGGGCTTCCACCTTGATCGGTCAGCATGACGACACTACTATCGACTCCACGGAGGTGGGTGGACAACACTGCGAGCACGAGCACCGCGACGAGGCGCACAGGCCGCCCCCGGGTCGCCATGGCGACCATGCGCGTCCTTCCCACCGCTAGTACTACTACAACTACCAGAAACGGCTCTAGTAGAGTGCTGGATCTGGAGTGCTGCCACAGCACAAACCACTGGAGTTGGAGACAGCGCGGCAAGGAAGAACACTCAGTGTTGAGAGGGGAAAAGCAAATTTTGCAAAAAGCATGACGACCACGCTGTTCTGTCACGCGATTGTGGAGCACAATATGCGAGAGAAATGCAAGCTTCGCAGACTCTGAGAGAGAGCAACCTCAACGCAAATATCTCTCGGAAGGAACGACGAACGTGAAGGTGGATTCCGAGGAGGCATTGCTGCTGAGCTATTTGCCGACTACTACTGTGCATGACAAGGTTCTGCCCCATCTTCAAATGCTGCAGCCTAAGAAAAAACTATTTCTTTCGGCATTTATGCAATTCAAGCGGAATCATCGTTCAGTCAGAAGCAGATCGCTCAGAAGTAGTCTGATTGAAGCTGTATTCCCAAGAAGTTCATCTATCAACCTTTGTGGTAAATCATGTCATGTACAGTATTGTTGTTTAGTAAACAACAATACTGTACAAATCGAGTTGCGCGATAACAAATTCATTGTTGTAGATAGAGCCACGAGAGGCAAGAGGGAGAAGTACAGAAAGGAAGGCATTTGGCAACATGGCTACCCCATAAAAAGAACGACGAGGGGATGAATTCTGCAGAGAAACGGTGTTGCACATGCCTCCAAAAAGAACAACAAACTACAGTACACTATTCAAACTACAAGTGTATCTTGGATGTGTCTGCAAGGACAGTTTTGGGACCCGCCTTTTTAGAGATGTCCCCACCCTACCACCAAACATTCCGGACGTACAGTATAACATTCTTACCAAGTTCGCGTCTCTTCCGTATGGATAGGTGCAGGTATGAAGCCGGCAGACCCGTGTCTCCGAGTGTCCTTAGGGCGCAGGAAGACCCGACATGCGACAAACCATAAAGTGGGCACTAAGCTCCAACAAGACTGAGAAAAAGCTCTCGGGATGTCAACTCAGGTTCTGGATCTTGCTAACACTTAAAGTACAGATCGTACGGTGATGCTCCACACCGTGAAAATGCTCATCCCATTTTCAATGCCCGTCATTTTGGGTAAATGCTCACCCATCCGCACGTGGACTACGTTTGACATAATCGTCAATACACACTGTACACGGGTGCACCGCACGACTCTTAATACAGCTGATTCTCATTTATTTTCTAACCTAGTAAGATATTCAGTGGCATTTGACCTCCTCCGCCACGAGAAAATATGTGGACTGTGTTTGGTGGTAAACCTTCAAAAGCTAGGTGTCGTAGGCGGTTGCAATGTGAGGCGCGTTTCTGTGCGCGATAGGTTTGGCCATTGAGTGTAGGCAGACCTTCGCTCGTTATGAGTCGTGAGTCGTGACTCGTGAGTCGTGGGTGGACCCTTGGCATGGGAGGGGGCGGGAGGTTGGTCCCAGATCCACTAGCCTCTCCTTGACGGTTGCATAGACGGTGCCAGCAACTGTACAAGGGTGCGAGGAACAAGACCATTTGCGGTTCGTAGAACTGTACAAGAGTACCACCGACCACAACCGAATTGAACAGATGAGCTTGCGTTGCGACGATTGCACTGGGCCCTCGCTGACAAAAAGGCACAAAAAGTCCTGTAGTTTGCCGCCGAGTGTGCGAATCGGTTTAACAAACAATTGATAATGAAATGTCTCATATAAAAAGAATTGGTGGTGTTGTCCAGTACCCTCATTGATCTAAAGACTGCGGGGCGGGGCACTGGCCCTGCATGAAATATTGTAAGGAACCTCGCACTGTTTTCACCAAACCTCGCACTGCTGGCCTGGCCGTGTCGGCCTACGCTTCGGGACTAGCCCGAGCCTCGCTCCAGCGTAGCACTAGCTAGCTCGCACGCACCGTGTTACCGTTTGCATGTTTCGCGTATAAATGTTCGCTCATGCCTTCGCTCACATTTTGTACTCGTTTGACACCTTAGTGCAATTCTCGCTACTTCGATTCATTGCACCCGTAACACTTGGTATTCATAGCCTCTTTCCTTTCGGACCGCGCATCTCCGCACCCCAGGAAATCAACTTTTGATTTTTCACTCGAAGGGACTCACGTACCTTAGCACCTAGGAGCCGCTGTCCTCGCGTTCTCTCGTAAATGCGTGCAGCCACGACTGCGCCTAGACTAAGACGAGCCGACGCCCTTCGAAATGGCCGAACATATCGACGTCACGACCCTCACGCAGGAACACTTGAACGATCTGCTGCGACAAATCCGCGAAAGCGCCGAGGAAATCGCGACGCTGACGGCAGAACGCTCGTCCCTGCAAAACGACCTCACAAGGGCACAATCCCAAGCACCTGGCACTCCGATTCAGCCCGCACCACAAACATCACAGCACGGAAGTGTGGGACAACCCGCGAGCGCCGCAAGTGATGGCGTCGTCCGCCATGACGGAGACGACGACCACGGCACGACACACCCCGACGCGACGAATGCGGCCAGGACTCAGCCTCGAGTTACGATTTCGATGCCGGCCGGCGAATCAACTCTTCCGTCGCCGATGCCGCTAAAGCCGCAGCGTCCGCCATGCTTTGACCCAAGTCAGCGGAGTGGTCCTACCGTTCAGGCATGGCTCTTCACGTTGAATGTCTTCTTCGACGCGAACTACGTCTCGGAGGATACGGCGAAGATTCGCTACGCCGTGTCGTTGCTGCGAGGACCCGCCATGGACTGGTGGCGCGTCATCGTCACGAAGCCGGTGGACTACGCGACTCTACCGACACGGGAAGGACAAACCGGACCCTGGGCGCCGTCATATTTCGTGGAGGTGCCCCAGTATCGCACGTGGGACGCGTGGTGCACAGGTCTGCGCGCTCGTTTCGAGCCAATCGCGGCTTCGATCGCGGCGCGACAGAAGCTCCGCACTTGGCGCCAACTCGGTTCCGTCCAAGATTACACGAGCGGATTTCTGGCGCTATGCGAGCAGGTGGGATATATGCACGAGAGCGAGCGCATCGACCGCTACATCGGCGGCCTGAAGCAAGACATCGCTCAGGAAATCCAGCTTCGCGGCGTCACCGACTTTCAAGAAATTCTCGCTATGGCGGAGAAACTTGATTTCTTCCGCCGATCGAGGCCGGGGTCCTACGGAAGCAGCCATTGGGGACATCGGCCTCGTGGGACGAACGAGGGCGCCACGATACGTGCCGTCGCCGCAAATGCCGCTGCCGCACCGTTCAAAGGGCGCTGCTTTGCGTGCAATCGGCCCGGGACATCGCAAGAGCGAATGCCCGGAAAACGCTAAGGGAAAGGGGGAAGCTGAGCAGCAGAAACAGACCAAGCAGCAGGGAAACGCTGGGAGTCAGTAGCAGACGGGCCCTCTACTGACAGGTCACGCCGCTCGCCCGACCCAACCGACCCTCACCGAGTGATTGTGCCGGTTCACGCAATCGACCACACTCGGCCGAATAAGGAGGGGACTACGGTAAACAGCCCCATACTGCTTAGTGGGAAAATCGGGACGGACTTAGTTAAAATCTTTGTAGACGGGGGAGCCAGCCACAGCCTCATCAACACCGCTACAGCACGAAAACTGCGACTGCCACTGGACAGATGTTTACCTGAGATCGACGCACGACTGGTAGACGGCACGCCGCTGGCAATACGGGAACGCGTAGACCGAGTTCGGATTCGATGTGGGGGTAACTTCACGTTTAGCCAGGAAATGCTCGCAACGACCCTCGACGGAACCGATATTTTACTCGGGCGTGATTGGCTGCGACGACACAATCCGCGAATCGACTGGACGGCGGGTGACTGCACCGTGCGAGTGAACGGTAACAACATCGCCCTACCTCGCTGGGGCTCGCCTGAGTCTTCGTCGGTGCGTGTCAACGCGATCACGATGAAACGCGCCGTAGCGGCAGGAGCTGACGTGTACGCGGTCGACATTCGGGAAGCCGAGGCAGCAGACAAGGGAGGGGATTTGCAGAAACTGCTGGCCGACGTACCAGGTGACCTGGCAGCACTATTGAAGCAGTACAGCGACATTTTCCCGGACGACTTACCAACGGGACTGCCACCTCAGCGACCGCACGACCACAGGATAGAGTTAGAACCGGGGGCACAGCCAACAGTACAGCGACAGTTCCGACTGACCCAGCCCGAACTGGACGAACTGAGGAAGCAGCTCGATTACCTGCTCGAGAAGGAATTCATTCGCCCTAGTTCGTCGCCTTTCGTAGCACCGATACTGTTCACACCGAAAAAAGACGGGGGGTTTCGCATGTGCATAGACTACAGAGCACTGAACAGGGTTACCATTAAATCCCGTTACCCCATCCCGCGAGCCGACGAACTGATCGACCAACTGCGCACAGCCCGGGTTTTCTCGAAAATCGACCTCCGAGGGGGTTACCATCAGATTCGCGTCAACCCGCCCGACTGCCCTAAGACTGCATTCCGCACCCGCTACGGATCCTTCGAATACACCGTCATGCCTTTCGGACTGACCAACGCCCCCGCCACTTTCCAAATGACCATGAACGAAGCTTTCCGCCCGCTCTTAGATAAGTGCGTCATAGTCTACCTGGACGACATACTGATTTACAGCCCTGACAGAGCACAGCACTTACAGGACATCGAAGCGGTTTTTAAAATACTGAGTGACAACCGCCTACTAACGAAAGCGTCTAAGTGTGAATTTTTACAGGACCGCCTGGAATTTTTGGGACATGTTATTTCAGCTGCAGGAGTGGAAATAGACCCGAAGAAAATTGCGACGATTCAAGCGTGGCACGCGCCGACCAACTTGACCGAGTTGCAGAGTTTTCTGGGGTTCGTCAACTACGTGCGCCGGTTCGTCCCCGACATGGCGAAGCTGACTGCCCCGTTGACTGACCTGCTGAGGAAGGGGGTTGAGTACACGTGGGGGGAGAAAGAGCAAGCTGCCTTCTCGGCCCTCAAAAACATTTTGTGCTCACCGCCCGTGCTCCACATCGCAGATCCACACCGTCCGTTCGAGCTCGTCACTGACGCAAGTGACATCGCTGTGGGAGCAGTACTGTTGCAGGATTTCGGAAACGGCCTCCAGCCAATCGCGTACGAGTCCCGCAAACTGCACCCGCCCGAACGCAACTACCCGATACACGACCGCGAAATGTTGGCGATCGTGCACGCGTTCAAGGTTTGGTGGTGTTACCTGACCGGCGCCGACGTGACAGTACGGACAGACCACCGATCACTACAGTACCTACGCGCCCAACCAAATCTCAATCCGCGAGAGATTCGCTGGTTGGACTACCTCGAGTCCAACTTCCACTACACGGTTACGTACAAGAAAGGCGCATCCAACACCGCCGACGCACTCACCCGCCCTACCGCCCAACTCCACGCCATTCTACTCGCCCAGACGAACCCGCTTTTAACAGGCCTATTCACCCACGGATACCGCACCGACCCATTTTTCACGACTGGAAACTCACAGCAACTGGCAGAAGCTAAAGGAGTTTATTACGTAAAAACAGGCACCAACCGCATCTGGGTACCCGCGTACTCACTACTGAGGGAGCTGCTACTGCAGGAGGCACACGACGGAATTACCTCGGGACATTTTGGGGTAGAAAAAACGCGACAGCAACTGCAGCGGTATTATTACTGGCCGGAGCTGTTGACCGACGTACAGCAGCACGTGGGCTCGTGCCCCACGTGTCAGGTGATGAAGAGCTCGAGGAAGCGGAAGGCGGGTCAATTGCAGCCGATACCACCGCCCGAGCGCGCCTGGCAGCAGGTTACCATGGACTTCGTCACAGGGTTACCTTCGAACCCTGGGGGTAACGACGCGGTGATGGTCGTCGTTGACAGATTGACGAAGATGGCACACTTCGCTGCGTGCAAAAAGTCGATCTCAGCCGAGGAGACCGCTCGTCTGTTCATCGCAGCCGTTGTTCGCCTGCACGGGATACCAGCAGCAATTATCAGCGACAGGGACACGAAGTTCACCAGCAACTTCTGGAAGAACCTCTGGGAGCAGTTCGGGACCAGGCTACAGTTCAGTTCGTCGTACCACCCCGAGACCGACGGCCAAACGGAGCGGACGAATCAGACGATGGAGCAGTTGATTCGTGCCACGTGCGACGACCCCACGACTTGGGAGCAGCAGCTGCCGCTGATCGAGTTCGCGTAGAACAATGCCACGCCAGCGACGACGCAGCAGTCCCCCTTTTACCTGAACTACGGGCAAAACCCTACAGTGCCCATGACGCCGAGTCCGGACAACCCAACGCCACGTGCACAGCAATTCGCCGAAATTCTGCAAGCTGCCCGCACCAGAGCCGCAGAAGCAATTAAAAAAGCAAATGTCATCGCTAAGCGCAACGCTGACCGCCACCGCCGCCCAGTCACATACTAGTCAGGGGATTACGTACTGCTCGACACGCAAAATCTGCGACTGCCCGACGTACCAAAACTTCGACCGCGCTACTGTGGCCCATTCCAAATCAGCCACATTATCACACCAGTAACCGCGCACCTACTGTTACCGACCGACTGGTACATCAGCCCTTCGTTCCACGTCAGCTTGCTTCGCCCATACATCCCAACCACAAGCCAACTGCCTCGCCACCGCCCGCCATCCATGACTCGCCCTGCATCGGAGCCGATCATCGCGCCCGAAAAAATCATGAGCCATCGGATTTGACACCCCACGGGAATCAAGAGGATTGAATTCCTCGTTCGCTGGAAGGACCGCACGCCAACCGAGGATAGCTGGGTGCCCCTGGCCAACATCGAAAACCACCCTGCCCTGCAAGTGTACCTGAGGAGCCGGGGATTCCGCGATATACACGCACTCACGTAGCGGAGGGGGCTTCTTGAGGGGGGGGGGTAGTGTAAGGAATTTTCTCGGCATTCCTTACGGAGCCCGACTACATCGCGTACAGCAACAGCCGTTGTTCGCCCGTTACTGCTAACGGGGCTTCGCCGACTTCGCGCGCACTGTTTTCACCAAACCTCGCACTGCTGGCCTGGCCGTGTCGGCCTACGCTTCGTGACTAGCCCGAGCCTCGCTCCAGCGTAGCACTAGCTAGCTCGCACGCACCGCGTTACCGTTTGCATGTTTCGCGTATAAATGTTCGCTCATGCCTTCGCTCACATTTTGTACTCGTTTGACACCTTAGTGCAATTCTCGCTACTTCGATTCATTGCACCCGTAACAAATATGCATAAAATATCTATCCAAAATGCTATACACGACCCTATCATCTTTGCCAAAAGCGCCTTTTACAAACCTACAGTCTGAAGTTTGGACATCTTGAGCGGTTTTTGAACGATGTATGCCGCCCCTAGATTTGTTTTGGGGTAGGCTAAAAACATCAGGCAGAAATTCCATTTTTCATTGAAAACCACTAGAAAATTACCAACCTTTTTAGAAAAAAGGCTAACAAATCTGTCTTGGTACAGAAAAAAAGTTGAAACAGGCCGAACCAGCGCAAACGGGATGAAATCTAGGGGGATCCCCCTACTTAACCTGACCTAGACACCATGCTAGTACATTCTTTTTGTAATCCTGAGAATAACACGATGTGTGTACTGTACACTGCACACCGCACGTGTCAGTCATGGAGTCAAGTGAATATAGTTGACCCAATCCACCCAACCCAACAAATAGTACTTCCCACTTGTTTCTGCTCCGGATCTGGTTCAAGCATCCATCATAAGCAGGCCCTCAGATTGGTTTGAGGGTATGCTGAGGACGCGGCACCTCAAGAAACTTTGCACGATCGATCGCAGGATTGCTGATTCCACCGCACTCAAATCCTGCTGAAAGCATTTACAACTTCCAAAACAATTTTAAAACCCTTCATATTTCGAACCTGCGCAGGATCGGTGCTAGAGGTGCCGCGTCCTGATGGATCAGCGTGCCCCGGCCAACGAGGTGTCCAAATCAGCGTTCACAGTTTTTTTTATACTGATTTTGCCAGTGTAAAAATCATAAGTAAACTGAACCAACAGTGTATTAACAAAAATCTATAGCTGAAACCCCAGTACAAGGTGTGTGGTATTGTTGCTGTGATAGGTTCCAGCGGCGCGCACCTGATATCTGTGCAGTGCATGCAAAAAAATGCCAAGTGTGTGGGTGGGGTCTTAGGAATCACGGGAAGGTACTGATAGTACACGCGTACCCTATCATCCCCCTCCCCCCCCCCCCACGCGGTCAACTCCGTTTCAGTGTGACTCACGTCACTATACTGATTCGTCAGTGTTACTTGTACAGCAACACGCAAAATGGTCAGTGTGGCAAGGTAGGTTATACTGAAATTTCAGTGCAAAATTGAAGCATACCGTATTGTCAGATTTATATGACTTAGCCTGTGTAGGCTATAGTGGGGTAGCACATATGGGGTACAATCTTTCTAGGGTTTGTACTTGTACCCAACCTCCCACTAGACAATCACTCCTCGTTTTCTCACATGGTATCGAGCAGGTTCCCTAGTGGGAACGCTTCCTAGGGCCCACCACGAATTTTTTTTTTCCTGCCCGGAGCGCGCCTTGCTCCTGCCCGAGTCGCGCCCCGTGTGCCCTCCCTACCGTCGCGCCCTCTCTCGGCCCCTCACGGCCCCTTCGCGTCGCCCTTAGCGGCCCCTCTCACGGCCCCTCGCGCCGCCCTTACGGCCCCTCGCGCCGCCCTTACGGCCCCTTACGGCCCCTCGCGCCGCTCGTCGGCCCCTCGCGTCGCCCTCGTGCGGCCCCTTACGACCCCTCGCGCCGCCCTTCGCGGCCCCTCGCGGCCTCTTCACGGCCCGTCGCCGCCCTCCGCGGCCCCTCGCGCCGCCCTTCACGGCCCGTCGCCGCCCTCCGCGGCCCCTCGCGCCGCCCTTCACGGCTCCTCCGCCGCCCTTCGCGGCCTCTCACGGCCCTGTCGCCGCCCTTCGCGGCCCGCCGTCGCCGCCCCTGCAGCAGCAGCAACCGCAGTCCCTACAGCAGCGGCCGCCGCCGTCCCTGCAGCAGCAGCCGCCGCTGTCCCTGCAGCAGCAGCCGCCGCCGTCCCTGCAGCAGCAGTCGCCGTCGTCCCTGCAGCAGCAGCCGCCGCCGTCCCTGCAGCGGAAGCCGCAGCTGCAGCAGCCGTTACCAGCAGCAGCCGCCGCCACCTCCCTCGGGGCCGCAGCCGCCGCCGTCGCTGACTGCAGCCGCCGGTGCGCCTCGGCCCTACCGACGCGCCTCGGCCCGCCTCTGCTGGTGCGCCTCGGCCCTACCTGCGCGCCTCGGCTCGTCCCTGCCGGTGCGCCTCGGCCCTGCCCCACCACTTGCGGCTCTCTGCCCTGGTAAGAGTGTCGCCGCACTGCGCTGTCACTACTGCCACTGCTGCTACTGCTGCCACTGCTGTCATGGCTACCCCTAGCGTCCTTGTCTTTGATGCTGAGGGTCGGGCTGTTGACTTTGAGGTCTGGGTCGATGATCTGCAGCTCTTCTTACAGTGCGATAGGAAAGACGGTCTCTCACTGTTCGATCTCACGTCTGGCGCCTCTCCTGCCCCTGCTGCCGATGCTGACAGCACTGTTCGCTCCCAGTGGGCCACACGCGATGCTGCTGCCCGTCTAGCTGTGCGTAGTCACTTGCCGTCCACTGAGCGCGCGCACTTTAGTCAGTACAAGAGTGCTAAGACCTTGTACGACGCGGTCATTGCACGCTACTCTTCCCCTGCCACTGCTGCTCTTAGCCGCCTCATGCTGCCGTACCTGTTCCCTGACCTAGCCGCCTTTCACACAGTCGCTGACCTCATTACGCACCTTCGCACTAGTGACACCCGCTACCGCGCTGCGCTTCCTGCTGAGTTCTGCGCCAAGAACCCCCCCCCCCATGTACATCACCCTCTACTGCATAGTCACCCGGCTCCCTGACTCTCTTCGTCCAGTCAGGGACCACTTCCTCTCTGTTTGCCCCACCACACTCACCGTTGACCTCCTCGAGGAGCGCCTCCTAGCAGCTGAGAAGAGCATAGTAGCTGTAGGAGCCTCTCGTGGTGACCCTCGTGCCCCCTTCTTTGAGGGGTGCTCCCCCTCCCCTCTTCTGCCCTCTGTTGCCTCTGCTGCTGCCGTCGACTTCGTTGGCACCGAGTCGGTCGGCGCTGCGTCTGCTCCTAGCGGGAGACGCCGCACCGGCAAGGGCAAGGGGGGCAAGGGCGCTGGAGGGACTGGCGGGGGTAGTGGAGGTGGCGGTGGAGGCGGCGGAGGGAGTGGGGGTGGCGGCGGGAGTGGTGGCGGGGGTGGGGGCTTCGGTGGCGGCGGCGGAGGCGGAGGCGGCGGCGGCGGTGGCGGTGGGAGCAGAGGAGGTGGCGGTGGCGGCGGTGGCGGAGGTGGCGGCGGTGGAGGTGGAGCTGGTCGGGGTGGCTCTGCGCAGCGGGGCGGCTTCGGTGGTGGTCAGCGCCAGCAGCAGCAGCGCACTCGTAAGACCCCGCCCCCCCAGCAGCTTCGTGAGTGGTACGCTACGCGTCAGCGGGGTGGGGGTACTGGTCCTTGTGCCTACGTTCTGCGTACCGGCGACCGCACTGGTGAGCCGTGCGGTGGCCCGCACACCACCCAGCGCTGCTTCGGCCGCCTGACGGACGCTTGGCGTCTCCAGTTCCCTGACGCCACGGAGATCCCCCGCTGGGGCGAGCTGCTTAGGTCGGGGGTTGCGATCTTTGATCTGGATTATGATGCTATTCTTGCTGCCATGTATGCTGTGTCTACTAGTGATGAGGGTGACTGTTACCTGTGTGTTCCGCCTGAACCAGGCATTGAGGCTGCTGCTCTAGGTGCTGGTGAGGCTGCTGCTCTAGGTGCTAGTGCGTTTGCTGCCCCAGGTGCTGGTGAGGCTGCTGCTCTAGGTGCTAGTGTGTCTGCGGCCTCAGGTGCTGGTGAGTCTGCTCTCTCAGGTACCACGTCGGCTCAGGCTGTACACACCTTCACCCTTGACTCGGGTGCTTCCCGCTCCTTCTTCCGAGACCGCACCACACTTACACCGCTTAGTCGGCCAGTTGCGGTCTCCCTGGCGGACCCCTCTGGGGGTCCTGTCCTTGCCCACTTCTCCACTGTCTTACCGTGTCCGGCTGCCCCCTCTGGTACCCTGTCAGGTCTCTACCTCCCCTCGTTCTCCACGAACTTGGTGAGTGGAGCTGATCTACAGGATGGGGGGGTTGACCAGTTCACCCCTGCGAGTCAGCGGGTGACCCACTATACGTGTGCTCGGACGGGCCGCCACTTGGCCACGTTTACCCGTCAGCCGGGGTCGAGCCTGTACACACTGACCACTGGGCCTTCTCAGGCTGCTGAGTCTGGTCAGGTAGCTGCGTCGGGTCAGGTGTTTGCTGCAACGTCCAGGTCTGGTCCTGAGTCTGCTCCCTGCTCGTGTCGTCTCCTGTCCCACCAGACGCTCCTCTGGCACCACCGCCTTGGTCACCCCTCCCTGCCTCGTCTCCGAGGCATGGCCTCCCGTTACCTTGTCTCTGGTCTCCCCCGGTCCCTCCCTCCCCTTCCTCCGGGGCCTGCCTCTACCTGCGTTCCCTGCGTCGAGGGGCGGCAGCGCGCCGCTCCTCACTCCTCTGAGTTTCCTCCGACAGAGGCTCCACTGCAGACTCTTCACATGGACGTGTGGGGCCCCGCCCGCGTCCGTGGCCAGGGTCACGAGCGTTACTTCCTGTTGGTGGTTGACGACTACTCGCGTTACACCACGGTGATCCCCTTGCGCAGCAACGGTGACGTCACTGGGGTGTTGATCGACTGGATCCGCGCAGCTCGTCTCCAGCTCAGGAGGAGTTTCGGCTCGGACTTTCCTGTTCTGCGTCTGCACTCTGACAGAGGCGGGGAGTTTTCCTCCGGCCTTCTGGGAGCCTTCTGCCGTGCACAGGGCATCCGTCAGACGTACACGCTTCCGGCCTCTCCGCAGCAAAATGGGATTGCTGAGCGCCGCATTGGCATGGTCATGGACGTCGCTCGTACGTCCATGATCCATGCGGCTGCTCCCAATTTTCTGTGGCCGTTCGCGGTTCAGTACGCGGCGCATCAGATCAACCTTCAGCCCCGGGTCTCCTTACCGGAGACCTCCCCCACCTTGCGGTGGACGGGGAAGGTTGGCGATGCGTCTGCGTTTCGCGTCTGGGTATCTCGGGCGTTTGTCCGCGACTTGTCTGCGGATAAGCTGTCCCCCCGTGCTGTTCCCTGCGTCTTCCTTGGCTTCCCCCCTGACGCGCCTGGTTGGCAGTTTTACCACCCCACCTCGCGCCGTGTTCTGTCCTCCCAGGACGTCACCTTTGACGAGTCGGTTCCCTACTACCGTCTCTTCCCCTACCGCACTGCGCCCCTCCCCCCGCCGCCGCTCTTCCTTGCGCCAGGTCCCCCTCCGGTAGACCCTCTCCCCCCTCAGGGTCCTGCCCCGTCAGGTGTGTCCCAGGTAGACGCAGTCGAGCCAGTCGAGGTAGCTGTTGACTCTGGTACTGCTAGGGGTGCTGAGCCTGCGGGTGCTGAGCCTGGGGGTGCTGAGTCTGGGGGTGCGGAGCCTGGGGGTGCGGAGCCTGGGGGTGCTGAGCCTGGGGGTGCTGAGCCTGGGGGTGCGGAGCCTGGGGGCGCTGAGCCTGGGGGTGCTTCGGGTACCTCGTCTCGTCGGGAGCTACTCTCTCCACAGGAGCTGCGCGAGTGGTTTGCCAGGCGCTGGAGTCGTGCTGCTGGTGCTGTTGACCCTGCGGTTGGCGCTGGAGGTGCTGGAGCCACTGGACCTGGAGGTGCTCGTACTGGCGGTACTGGAGCTGCTGGGACTGGGGGTGCTGCTGGGGCTACTGGAGTTGGTCCTGCTGGAGGTGCTGCTGGTGCTGCTGGAGGTACTGGAGCTGCTGAGGGTGCTGGAGCTGGCACTGCTGGAGCTGGAGGTGCTGCTGGCGCTGGTGCTGCCGCTGGGGGTACTGGTGCTGTCCCTGCCGTTTCAAGGGGCGCTGCGCGGCCGCGGCTGTACTTCGTTCCGCTCCTTGAGCAGGTTCTTGGTCTCCCGCCTTCTACTGGTCCTCCTCCCTTAGAGTGTCCACAGCCTGTCCAGTCGCGGTCACAGTTAGAGCCTGCCTCCCCACTGCCTGCTCCTTCTCCCTACGCTGGTCCTACTGGAGGTCTTACTGAGCGTCGTGTGCCTGCGTCTCGTCCTGCGTCGCCTGTTCGTGCTGTCCGCACTAGTCATCGTGTTCCGCGTCAGCGTCCTCCTGCGGTCCCGGGCACGCACCGGATGGCACTGCGACCTTCCACTGCTCCGCAGCGTGTCCCTTCGCCGTCGCCTCCAGAGTCCTCTCTTCCTGCTCTTGCTGACCCGGAGTCTGACTCTCTTCGTGCTGCCAGTCCTACTGTCACGCGTCTCCTGGCTACTGTTGTCACTGACCCTTCCTTTGAGTCCACTGCTGCGTCTGCCTTAGTTGTTGAGCTGGTCGACTTCGCTGCTCGTTGTCGTCTAGACTACGCTGCGAGTCTTGTTGCTGAGTCTGCGTCTGTCTGTCCTCCGTCCGTCGGGGGTGAGTGTGCTCTTGGCACGGACGTTCTTGAGGACAGACGGGAGGAGTTCCAGTGTTTTGCTGCTGCTTTGCCTCATCTCGTGTCCACGCTGATTGCCCCTGAGGGAGACCCGGATGCACCAGACATCCCGACTCCTCGATCGTACGCTGAGGCGATCGAGGGTCCCTACTCCTCTCAGTGGCAGTCAGCCATGGACGCAGAGATGGCTTCCTGGAAGTCCACAGGCACCTACGTCGACGAGGTTCCCCCTCCTGGGGCGAACATCGTCAATGGCATGTGGATTTTCAGGGTGAAGCGGCCGCCGGGTTCTCCACCTGTCTTCAAGGCGCGTTACGTTGCTCGAGGCTTCAGTCAGCGGCAGGGAGTTGACTACTTTCAGACCTTCTCTCCCACCCCGAAGATGACCACTCTTCGGGTGCTGCTGCACATAGCCGCTCAGCGCGACTACGAGCTTCACTCTCTTGACTTCAGCACAGCTTTCTTGAAGGGCAGCCTGCACGAGGAGATCTGGCTGCGCCGCCCACCTGGCTTCACTGGGTCATTTCCTCCTGGTACCCAGTGGAGCCTCCGGCGGCCAGTCTACGGTCTCCGCCAGGCGCCCCGTGAGTGGCACGACACACTGAGGACTACACTTGCGGCTCTTGGGTTTGCTCCTTCTACCGCCGACCCGTCGCTGTTTCTGCGCACCGACACCTCTTTGCCGCCGTTCTACATCCTCGTGTACGTCGACGACTTGGTCTTTGCCACTGCTGACACTGCTGGACTCGCCCACGTGAAGTCCGAGCTGCAGAAGAGACACACGTGCACAGACCTGGGTGAACTGCGCAGCTACCTTGGCTTGCAGATCACCCGGGACAGAGCACAGCGCACCATTACCCTGACTTAGTCACACATGGTGCAGCAGGTCCTTCAGCGCTTCGACTTCACGTACTCCTCGCCTCAGGCCACTCCTCTGTCTACTCGCCACTCGCTCTCAGCTCTACCTTCGGATGAGTCCGTAGAGCCGAGTGGCCCGTAACCAGAGCTTGTTGGCTGCCTCATGTACCTGATGACCTGCACACGACCTGACCTCGCATACCCTCTTAGCATCTTGGCACGCTTTGTTGCTCCTAGGAGACACCGACCAGAGCACATGGCTGCAGCGAAGAGGGTGTTGCGTTACTTGTGCAGTACGTCGGGCATGGGGCTAGTGCTTGGAGGGCGGCGTTCAGTGGTCCTCACAGGTCACGCAGACGCTTCTTGGGCTGACGACCAGGCTACGCAGCGGTCGTCACAGGGTTACACCTTCAGCCTTGGTTCCGGCTCTGTTTCGTGGCGGTCTACCCGCTCGTCTTCTGTTCTCGGCTCCAGCTGTGAGGCTGAGATCTACGTGGGGGCCATGGCTGCACAGGAGCTACGCTGGCTCACCTACCTGCTGACTGACCTAGGAGAGCCGCCTCGTTCTCCTCCAGTTCTGTACGTAGACAACAAGGCCATGCTGGCCTTGTGTCGGGAGCACAGACTGGAGCACAGAACGAAGCACATTGCTCTTCGTTACTTCCTTGCTCGTGAGCTGCAGCAGCGTGGTCAGCTGCGCCTTGCTTACGTGGCCTCTGAGGCCAACACTGCTGATATCTTTACCAAGGCACTTCCGCCTTGTGGTCATCAGCGGTGCTGTACGATGCTAGGTCTTGTGCCTACTTGGCCTCACTTGCTCACTTCTTGACCTTGCTTGTACTGTGATCTATCTATACCTGCACTTGCCTGTTTACTCTTATATATGATCTTGCATGTGAACTGGCCTTGTGGCCTTGAACTTGTGCTCGGAATGTGTGGTGACGTTGTGATCCACCCTGAGCTTGCTTTGCTTTGCTTGACTGGTCTTGTGACCCCTTGTTCTCCGCCACTTTGCCTATGGGGGTGTGTCAGATTTATATGACTTAGCCTGTGTAGGCTATAGTGGTGTAGCACATATGGGGTACAATCTTTCTAGGGTTTGTACTTGTACCCAACCTCCCACTAGTCAATCACTCCTCGTTTTCTCACACGTATCACCCCGGATATAAGCGCAGGCCTATGTTAAGCGCATGCGCTTATATCTGGAGCAATGCGCTTATGGCCGATCCTCGATTATAAGCGCACCCCCTATAGAACCTTGACTTATTATAAGCGCATCAATATTTCTGTTGATATAACTGAAGGATCGTTGTGGATAGGATAAGGTTTGCCAAGTGTAAGAAGAAACTGAGAACTCTCAGTAACGACCTTGTTGGTAAATTGAAAGATAACAAGATGATTATAAGATAGGATTACAAGAGTATAAATAGCATTCCTAGCTAGCCATGTACTCTGAGGGGTACTTCTTCTTATTAACTGAATTACATTGCTACAGTAACCCACGACTATTGCCATTCTAGACAGTTACCATGTTGCTCTTCGTAACTGCCTCGTGCGGTTACCGGTCAGTCAAGGGTCACGACTGTTGACTGTCTTCGACCGTTGACCTTCGGGTGACACTTGAACTTCCGCGTGCTCTATATGAGCTATTGCGGTACTAGTACGGTCACATATTTCGTTATGAAGTGACGCGAAAGTGGAAACCTTCGGGAATGTTTATCATAACCTTTCGGTTATTCCAACACTCCCCTTCATTCCTGAAGGCGAGCCACGTGGGACTTCTTGGTGATTCCGCAGAGGTTGGCGCAGTGCTGGAACTGTTGACGTGGCAGTTTCTTTGTCAGAAAGTCGGCTGCCATGTCGCCAGTTGGGCAGTACGTGAGCTTGACCTTGCCCTTGTCGATTTCGTCCTTGACGAAGAAGTAGCGAAGGGCGATGTGTTTTGTGCGGTTCACAAAGCCGGGCTTGTTTGCGATCTTGATCGCGCTTTGGTTGTCGCAGAGTAACGTGAAGTGCTCGTTCATCGTCACTTTCGCTTCCTACAGGAGTTCCATCAGGTACAGTCCTTCACGAACAGCTGCGCTGGCGGCGATGAATTCTGCTTCTGCTGACGAAAGGGCGATGAGTTCCTGCTTCTGCGAGTTCCAAGAGATGAGTCCAGCAGGTTGAAGTTGGAAAAGCAATCCTGTGCAGGAGCGTCTGTTGTCAACATCTCCTGCATGGTCAGCGTCTACGTAGCCGTGCAGCTGCAGGGTGGCTGTTAAGTTGGCTTCGTAGGTGAGTCCGACGTCGGGAGTAGAGATAAAGTATTGAAGTGCGCGGCGCAGATCCTGTAGATTCTCCCCTTCAGGTCGCTTCATATACTGAGCGAGCTGGCTTGCGACGTAGGAGAGATCGGGCCGGCACGTGACGGCGGCGAAGAGAAGGCACCCGAGCTGCTGCTGGTAGAGCCGATGATCCTCAAGAGACAGAGGCGTGGTGTCCGGAGTGTGGGTAGGAGGAGGAGTGCGGAACGGGGTGGAGAGATTGATTGGTGCGATGCCGAATTTCTTCGCGAGGGTCTCGGCGTACTTGGCGGCGGAGAGATGAATGGAGGAGGCAGACTGGGTGATGTTGAGACCCAGAAATTGAGTGACGTTGTGGTTGATGGTGACTTCCAGCTGCGCCTTTAGGTCTGCTTCGAATTGGTCCAGTAGCTCCGTGTCGTCACCGGTGTAGAGGAGGTCGTCGACGTAGGCGACGAGGAGAATGAACTTGCCGCGTGACTCCTTCCGGTACATTCCGAGGTCGTGGGGCAGCTGTTGGAAGCCGATGCTTGTTAGCACCATGTGAAGGTACTGCTGCCACAGACGCGGTGCTTGCTTAATCCCGTAAAGGGATTTCTGGAGCAGGCAAACGGCCCCGTCGGTCTCTTCGAAGGCATGCGGCTGCTCGACAAAGATAATCGCGTCGACAGGGGCGTACAGGAATGCGCTGCCGACGTCGATTTGACGGAGTGGTCGTCGCTTGATGGCGGCGATGCAGATGAGAATCCGCACTGAGGTGTGCCGTCCGACTGGTGCGTAGGTGAGATCGAAATCCACCATGTGCGTTTGTTCGAAGCCGCGGACCACCCAGCGCGCCTTGTACTTGTCGATGGAGCTGTCCGCCAGCGTTTTGATGCGGAACACCCATTTGCCGCTGAGAATCTTTCTCCCCTTGGCAGA